TCTGCAGGTCGGCTGGCAGTATCCCGTTCTTAAAGAGGACATAGAGGGCGATGAGGCGCAGTCTATCAGCTGGCGTTACTTCATCTTCATCCAGAGTCCGGACGATTTGATCGGTCATGTTCTTGGGCTTCCGGTAATCTTCGTCAAGCCCAGTGGCCAGACACTAACAAGTCAGCAAAAATTGCAGCATTGAAGCTTGGATGGCTTACCTGCTCCACTGAGGCGAGGTCTGGTAGCTTGTGCTTCTGGAAGATTTCCATGCATTTCTGCGCCATGGTAAGGTGCAATGAATACGCTTCTTTCATTTCTTGGAATTGTGGCAACCCAGCAATCATGTCCTTGATGGCGTTGAGCCCATTCATACCTGCGGCGTTTTGGGCGTCCTGGTTTGTGAAGTGGGGATTGTCGGCGATAAACTTTTGGAAGTCGCTGATGAGTTTGTCGAGGGTGTCCTTCATGTGTCGATGACGGTTCTCAACCCATATCTTGTCCTTGTCAGAGATCTCCATGTCTTTTGCCTCTGAGCCGGCATCCTCTTCGTTGACATTGGTCCTGTAGGTCACCTTGTCGTTGTCTTGTATGGGTAGCAAATCCATGGCCATTGCCTGATATGTAAACTCGTGAACGAAGGGAGCCATGAGGTCCATGGAGCGATCGGTGATGAAGAGTGTACCGCGGGGACGGTTGGATTGAGGAGGGAAGTCTTGGTTGTACTGGGCGTACATGTCGAGCTTGTCTTGCACGAAACGCGCAAGGTGTGAGCATAAGACGCTGGCCTCGTGCGTTGGGCTTCGGGGTCGGTAATATCGTATGAGGGGGTATTCGCCGAGAGCAACGCATACTCCTGTGATCTGGGAAGCGTCAGCCAAAGTTGGATAGCAGACCAAGCTTGCCTACTCTTTCGGCAATATCCTCCATGTGCCGAACCACGAGATTGTTGCATTCTGGGTGGTAGAGGATGGGAAAGCTCCAGGGGTCTTTGAAGGTGACGAGGTTGGACTCCTGGGGGTGGAAGTCAAGGTGGACTGTCCGAAAGCTTCGAATCTGTTCGCGCGCCATTGGCGAGCGGTCTATGCGCTCCTTGAGGTGTGGAGGGAGTACTAAGCGCATCAGCCTGAAGCCTGTGTCTCGAAACCACGGTGCCCTTACGTGTCGTCCAGATCAAGAAGAAGCCCCTGTACCGCCGCTGGTCGAACTCGGCCATCATGCAGTCGACAATGTGGGGCTTGGGGGTGAGGATGTATACGGCGTCCATGTCTCGTATGTGCTGCCGCCGGTCTTCGATGCGCTCGATGTCTGCAGGAGGTCAGGAGGCATTGCTGGGGAGCGCAGTGCAGAGGGCGTACTGGTGATGTTGAGGTTGAGGATGTCATCTTCCTTGACCACGTTGTTGATGAGCTTCTGGCTATACTCGTCGACAATGAGTATCTTCCACTGGGCACCGTTAGCTGTGTTTGGGCTGCACGAGGGGAGGCTTGTCGCACGTCGCCGCGGGTGGTTTGTCGGATAGCGTTGAGTATGACTAGAAGCGCATATATCAGTCTTCGTCGTCTTGCTAGTGCGCGGTGCCTGGTGGTGTCTCCGTACGTTCTTTCTGGATGTCTATCATGGAGGCCATACTGGCGGGGTATGACAGGCTTCCTGCCGCCGCGGTGAGAAGAGGACGAGAGGAGTTCGCAAGAGGATAGGTGGCTCCGTGGTGAGTGTATGCTGGGCGCGCGGGCGTAGTGAGCTGGATGCCAGTAATGCGCAGTGCAGAGTCGGAGGGTGAGGGTGAAGGTTGGGGTCTGGGTTGTGGGGAGCGCGTCGCAGCTTGGCCGTTGGTGTTGCAGCTGCGGCCGCGGTGCCCTTGCCCGCCGGAGGTCTCTGAATTTGGGGCTTGGCCCAACTTTTTCTTAGTACTGTATGCACTACGACTAGACATGACATTGTTGACTGGCAAACTGACATGCTGCCCGTATTTGCCCCCGTGCATGCTGCACTCTACTTCCTCCCCTCTTAATTCTTCTTTTTCTTTTTATTCACTCTTTATCAGCTCCCAACACCTCTCCCGGGCATGCTTCCCCCGCCAGTGCGGCGGAATTCGCTGTGTTTCTTCTGCGCATTCGCCGCCCGCTCACGTCTCCAACCACCACGCCTCCTTCCGATAACTCCAGTCGCACACCGAAGTTCCACTTCCAAACGACCAAAAGGTTCTAGCCAGCATGTCCCCCTCCGAATTGCCAATCCCTTCCGCTCAGATAGCGCCGGGCCTGGCTCCCGCATTATCCAGGAAAAGTTGCTCAAAGTCGAGAAGGATTTAGCAACGCCAGAGTATCTCGAGAGCCTTCACATCAGCAAAAATGACTTCGATATCAAATGGCGCGCCTTTAAAAAGTCCATCGACGTCCAGATCAACCGGAGGGCACCCGAACTGCAGACGCTGGTGGGCGAGGCCAGGCGGGGCAAGGATACACTTCAGAGATGGCTGCGACAGCGCTTCTACTCGCAGATATATGGCGAAAACTTCACGGTAGCTGAGTTGGAAAACCAAAAGGAAGTAGCCGACTTGCGATATCCCGCCGAATGGTACCCAGCCACCCGAGAGATTCCACGCACCGTACATATGCACGTTGGCCCCACCAATTCGGGCAAGACCTACCATGCCCTCAAGCGCCTTGAAGAAGTAAAATCCGGCATCTACCTCGGCCCGTTGCGCCTCCTTGCCCACGAAGTCTACACCCGCCTGGATGCAAAAGGAAAGGCATGTGCTCTGGTTACTGGCGAGGAACAGCGCATGCCACAGGGCGAGCGCGCCTACATGTACAGTTGTACAGTCGAGATGGCTCCGCTCAACACGCACTTTGATGTCGCCGTCATAGACGAAATACAGATGATCAGCCATCCAGAGCGAGGTTGGGCTTGGACCCAGGCTTTCCTTGGTCTGCAGGCCAGGGAGATTCATCTCTGCGGAGAAGCCCGCACAGTGCCACTAATGCGTGAGCTTTGTGCTCTTGTTGGCGACAAGATCCATGTCCATGAATACAACCGTTTGACCCCCCTCAAGGTCGAGCCAAAAAGCCTGGGGGGCAAGCTCAACAATCTCCAAAAGGGCGATTGCATTGTCGCTTTCACAGTCCTGGGTATACACGCTTTACGGCGAGAGATTGAAAGAAAGACGGGAAGGAAATGCGCCATCGTTTACGGAAGCTTGCCACCAGAGACAAGAGCTCAACAAGCCCGGTTGTTCAATGACCCGGATAACGAGTACGACTATCTGGTAGCTAGCGATGCCATTGGCATGGGTCTCAATCTGTGAGTAGCGCCTGACCCTGGTTTTGTTCGACATAGACTGACTTCTGTAGTGCCATCAAGCGTGTCATCTTTGAATCTACCATGAAGACCGATGGAGTAAAATATGCCAGTCTACAAATCTCGGATCTCAAACAGATTGCTGGTCGCGCAGGTCGCTACAAGACAGCTCACCAAGCAGTCAACGCAGACTCGAAACAAGTTTCGGTTGCCAACGGTGCCATCGATCCCGTCATAGGTTTAGATGACAAACACTCTGATGCAGATGAAATAAAGGCACCCGAGTCGAAAACAGTTGGATGGGTCACGACGCTTGAGCACGAAGATCACAAATACTTGAAATCAGGTATGGAGAAGGAGCCTGAAGAAATCAAGGCGGCCGGCCTCTTTCCTCCTTCTCAGATTGTGGAGCGATTTGCAAACTACTTTCCACCGGGCACGCCTTTCAGCTACATCATGCTACGTCTACACGATATTTCAAACATACACCCCCGCTTTTACCTCTGCACTCTCAAAGACCAGCTAGCAATTGCAGACGCCATCCACACAGTCAAGAACCTCAGCGTTCAAGACCGCATTACCATCTGTGCTGCACCGATCAACATGCGCTCTGCCCCAGAACGAAACTTTTTGCGCAGACTCACCGAGTGCATAGCTGAGGGCAAATCGGGGAATCTGCTAGATATCGAGTGTCTACCACTCGATATCATGGATCAGCCATCTTCTGGCGATCGGGAGTATTTATACAAGCTCGAGCAGTTGCACAAGATGATTGTGTGTTACCTGTGGCTAAGCTATCGCTTCCCCAATGTCTTCACCACCAGGGCCCTTGCAAACTACACCAAGAAGCTAGTGGAGGACCAGATTGAGAATACGCTCTCCGAGTTCTCATTTACTGAACAAGTCAGATTGAAGCAAAAGAAATCAAGAGATCAGGCGAGAAAAAAGATGGAATTGGACGCTGAAGGTGCGGCCATGCAAGTCGAAGGCGACCAAAGCCAGGCATCTGACGGGTTGACCAACGAGGCAAAGAAGATTCTAGATAACCCCACATTCGCTGCTTCGACACGTTCGATAGTTGACGACGCGAACAAATATCCAGACGATGCACCAGTCAGTGAGGTTGCATCGCTCACGGCAGAGCAGGAGAGTGGTGCTGGCAAGTTCTCGGGTGAGGCCGGCGAATTATTAAAAGGCTAGAAGGTGCATTCGATGAAGCGAAACGAAGCCACGCAATCCGAAACTTGGATGGGGATGCTGTACGATGACACTTGTATTTTATCTGATGATGTATCCCTCGAGCCTTTTTTGTGCATATACTGGATGGGAGTATCAAGACTTTGGTTATTTTCTGGCGTTACCAAGACGCATCATGGTACATATTGAATCTGTATGACTACAAAATGAAACTTTCTTCGCCACTTGTGCATTTGAAATTATAGAAATTTGAGAATTTTTCTTGTATTGTGCCTACGCGTCGGAATGCTTTCACAAGGTGATTGTACCTTCGAGTCGTTGTCGCATACCTTGTTGTTAGCATCTGGCAGCCTTGTTGCTTGACCGGTCGTCAGCCACGAAACTCCCCCCTCAGTCAGGTTACAACCTATCAAGCCTTGACACATAATCAGGCGGAAATGTATGCCTTGTCAAGCTACAGTCTGCAGTCATGATATAAGATGCAGCTCCCCAGGCAGTAAGGTCAGCTGCTCGCAATTCTCAATACCATTTCCCCACTACTGAAAGCTGCGCCCTGCATTTACCATGGCACCAAGCAAGGTCGGTAATGGTATCTTAGACCAATGCATATGAACGACTAACGAGCACATAGTCAGATATCCAAATTGGCTGGTTCGTTACGGTGACAGGCGTTGGCGTATCATCTGGCGAACACATGGTGCTGAAGGTGCCAAACACTCTTGTTGGCGAATCTCAGTGGATGATTGAGGGAGGAGTAAATGTCTACTGGGAAAACATTCAATCATGGCGTCCGCCTAACATGTCGCGGGAACGCTATATCGGGCAGTAAGAGCAATAAGCAATTAGAGGGGTAGCCGGGCCCAGAGTTTGGGTGCATGGGATCATGATGTACGTCATAATTAGGTTACGGCTCGGGGCAGACTACTCGGAACACGAATAGCATACTTACCCGTGCTTCGGACCGAAGTCGATGCCAATCTGCACTTCGCATACGTACACAATTACCAGTAGATGCATGCACGTGAAACCAAGACCGAGTTTGAAAAAGGCCACACATGGGTAGGGAACGCTCGAGCGGTCGGCACAAGGGGTTAGCTTAGATCAGCCCTACCAACAAGATTAGCAAATCTCCCGACGCTTCCGCACAGGGACCATTGCCCGACGACCCTCTTCCCACAACATTCAACGCCACGCCCATGTGCACACCGTGACGCAGTCTTAACACAGCATACATAGCCTTCCAACCTTTGACCCAAACGCAGAGGCTCTCTCTGCGCCCGACCGCCATGATGATGGTGCCTGCTCACATCCTCGAGATTCCGCGGCCCAAGGTAGGTCGACAAACACAGACTGCCCGAGAAATGTGGGCAGTACGCTACATTGTGCAAGACAGGCTAACCTATGCTCATAGACGTTTCTTCAGAAAATGTCGCTGCGCACCGGAGCCGAAATCATTACTTTCCTCCAAGTCATCAACAAAGCATCGGGCGTCTACGGCCTCCTGGCGCTCCTCACCGGGGCCAAAGTCGATGGCTGGCAACTGTCCATGTACCTGTACTCGACCTTTGCGCTGCTCGCCACAACATACCTCTACAAGCACATCCGGTTGCAGAGTCCCTTTGAGTCTGTCCTGCTTGCGCATCTGTACGCGCTCGACTCGGTCATCAACGCGCTCTACACAGCCTTCTTCGGCATCGCTTGGTTCTACGCGCTTGCCGCGCACCCGGACGAAAATGCCGGACTATCGCCTGGAATGAAGGACAACGCGGGCTTCACAAGCCCCAAGCACAACGTCTCCGAAGTCGACATTATTGCCGAGCCAAACAGGGGCATGCAAGCCGGTCAACACGCCATCGCAGTCGGACAAGGCAGCGAGGGCGGTGCAGGTCTTGGCAACGCCGTCTTCCAGAGCGGCAGCATCATGAGCATCTCTCTCATCTCTGGTTTCTGGGCTCTGCGCGTCTACTTTGTCTTCATCATGCTGGCTTTTGCGCGCCAGTGCCTCCGTCAACACATGGCTGCCAACGCCTCGTCTGCTGCGTGGTACAACTCCAACGACATGCAAACGTCTGCGAATGACCTTGCCGAGAACCCGTTCGCGGAAGACAAGGAAGAGGGCCAAGGCTGGAAAGGCCAGCTTGGTCGGGCTATGCTTAGCGGTGCACCCAAGTACTGGCTCGGTGCGGATGAGGGCGAGGACTGGATGCGTGGGGTTGGTGGCAGGTTCAGGAAGCCCACCCAACTCGACCAGCCTGTGGGCTTCAACGAGCGCGAGAGGAGACGTAGATCCGGGACAGGCCCACCTGTGCCGCAGCTCAAGATGTTGAACCCCGAGTTGCCCAAGTAGACTTGTGTGACGAGGCAGACACGGCGGCTTGGTGGGTGCGGCAAAGGAGATGATTGACGAAGGAAGCGAAGTGGTAATGACCTGGCTCCGGGGAGAGCGCCTTGGGGGATCAAAGCGTATCTGTACTATACCTATTACCTATTAATGTTTTTGGCGTACATGGGACGTGGCAATGCACATGGCAGCGACTTGTTGGGTTTTGCCAGCTGCACGTAGCAGTGCGTGCCGGCAAGGTCGGCTCTGGTGCTGAGCTCATCACGCCTGGGACAGAAGCCGTCGTCTTGTTTCCGTATTTTTTTGCTTCGACGCCACACTATGCTGACCCGATCCAGCAGACGGGCAAAGGCATGTAGTCAGGGCAAACACGGCCGAGTCTCGTGGCGTTGCGTGGCCGAGGCAGGCCTTTGTCGACCACTCAGCATCTCGTCAAGGGCTGTCTAAGCCCCGCTCGGCTAGTCGATGCGCATCAGGTGAATGGCCGCCTGTCTCACCCTCACCGCCGGCCTGCACTTTGGACCCTGACACCCACAGCGCCGGTGAACCGTTGGGCAAGCATGTGCCGGCCTTGGATGATGCGTGGTGGGTTGCCGCACGCGTGTGCCACTGTCACACATCCGTCCAGAGACGGACTGGATGACCTGTCATACTTACATGGCCTGTTTGATCTCTCGAGCCGCACTGATAAGGGGGGGCCCTCTGGCTGCGCTTCAGTAGCTCTTGGAGACGTCTTGCTAACTGCCGCCCTTTTCTCCTGCCAATCTTACGTTTTTTCTTCGACATGCTTTGACTCAACCTTGACTCCTGACCAAACTCTGTACCCGCCTCGAAACCTTTTTCCCAAACTTGTTAGATTCCGACATTAATATCCACATTGATTTTTTTCCTCCTTCTGGACACTACTGTAAACAACCAAAAAGAAACAAGAGGGGATTGAGCAAGAGAAGGACTACAGTCTTCTAGAATGGGCTTCTTTCGTCGATCACTTAGCTTTGGCTCCTCGCGTTCGCGCCCACCAACCGACGACTCGGCATCCGATACCGCTAGCTCGAGGACGAGCATAGATTCTACCTTTGACAATCAAATATCAGAGTCGCTGGCTACCATCACCAAACTACCGCAAAAGGCACCGATTCTCACCCTTCCGGTCGAACTCATCCAGCAAGTCAGCACTTATCTCGACACTGCCTCTGCAGCATCCTTTTGCCTCTCCAGCCGCTTTGTTTATTACGCCCTCGGCACCAACGTACTATCAGCTCACGTCGAAGCAAGCAAGAACCGGTTCGAGAAGCGACGAATCATCGAGGCCGTTGTTGAACGCGCATTTCCCGGCCACTGGTTCTGCGGCTGGTGTGATAAATTCCACTCATGGAGCGCAAACGACGGACCAAAGACTCCAGCCCGAGGACGCCGACGAGACTGCGCAGACTTCAACAGCTACCTCTACTCTGGTAGTGACTACCTTCTCCGCTACCACCACATCCGGCTCGCTATCAACGCCTCCCTCTTCGGACCCGAACACGGTATCCCACTCTCGGCCTTCACCCACGAGCAGCGAGGCATGGCCAAGATTTCCAGAACCCCCGTGCCCACCAAACTCCAAATATCAGCAAAGATATCCCGAGGCCGTTTCCTGCTTCACTCCTCCTTTGCCATTATCCTGCCTTCCTTTGCAAAGCGCAACCGCAATCTCCTCAACACCCTCTGGCCCCTCCTCCCACACATTCTCTCGGGTCACCACGACAGCGAAAACGGACACACAGGCCTCATGGCCGCTGTCGACAACGTCGTGCGCCGCGGCTGGAAGTATCAATTCACGCAAAACTGCAGCATGTGCGCTACCGACTGGGCGGTTAGCGCCCAAGAGTTCCCCCACGCCACAGGCGGTCAGATGCGCCTTGTTGTCCAGACCTGGCGCGATCTGGGCACCGCGCGGACGCCCTTTGAAACCAGCTGGCGCGCCCATGGCGTATGTACAGCCGAGGGCTGGAAGAACAATGGCGCGGCTGCTGCGACGTGTTTGCTGAGGACGGCCTCATTGCAGGCTGGTGCTATTCGGCGCGCGTTTGAGACTGAGGAGGCGAATGACGGGGCGGGTGGTAGTAGTGGCAAGGTTTCGCACAAGACTTCATCGGGCACACGTATTTATCGCTCTTTTATGAGGCGGAATACGGTCGACGAAGAGGAAGAGGATGACGATGCCAATCTTGCTCGACGCTCGAGTGCAAGACCTAGGTACTGGAGGACTGCCGAGGAGAATGCAGACGCCGCGCGCAGGTATGACGAGGAGAGGAGGGATGCAGTGACGAGTGCGGCTGAGCATATGGCTAGAATGACTGCCCAACGTGTGACGACGTTGGTCTAAATGGCGGGGTGTTCTTCCTTTTTTTTTTCTTCCCGCGCACTCGCAACCGTTGATTCGCATGGGCGGTCTTTTTTTTTTCTCTTCTTCTTCTTTTCTTTTAAATCTCTCTTCCCATCGTCGAAGCGTTCTTAGCGAATACATACATTATAGAACGGCGCAAAAAAAAAATAATCGTTAAACGCCCAACATAGATAGATCTCCACACGAAATCACACTTTCAATTTCACAAATGAAAAAATGTGATACTTTTTGTGTATGTATGTGTGTGTGTGTGTGTTTGTTTTTTTCTTGAATGCAAATTTCCATTTGTCTACTTTGTATGCACACATTTCTAAGTAGTTTCCCCACACTTTCCACCACTCAACAACAAAAGTATATACAATTTCCGAGATTGTCGAAGCGAAAGTATCGAACAATAAGAAGAAAGAAGAAGGTCTACCTACACCTCTCCATTGAGACCAAGAGGATAGAGAGAGAGAGAGAGAGTACAGAGTCTACCATGCACAATGGGCGCGCGCGCTCTCAGCGAAAGAGAAAGCGCTTATGCGGGCTGAGCAAAAGTAGAGCCAATAGGACCAAACTTGATGTTGGAGAAGACAACCGTAGCATCGGGCGAATTCTTCTCAACATCCTCTGGCTTACCAGAGGTGATAGGGCAGGTACCACGGGCAGCACCGGGCTTGGATGGGTCGGCATCGGTGGGGTAGGTAGAGTCGAGCCAGAGCATGTTGACGGCGTGGTCGTCCCAGAGCGACATGACGAGGACGTGGCCGCGAGCAAGCGAAGCACCCATGCCGTTGAGACCACCCAGGGTGGCGAATGACGAAGTGTCGCCAAAGGCCTTCTTCTGCGCGGTACAGAAGCTCTCGGTGATGGAGTTGCCGGTGACGCCTGAAATGGCCGACTCGGAGTTCTTGTAGACCTTGCCGTTCTGGATGTAGAAACGCTTGATCTCTGAGAGGCTGGAGCCGGAGCCGAGGAACTGGGTGACGACGGTCATCTTCTTGGTGGTGTCGAGGGTGGCGCCTGGGCCGTAGAAGTTCTTGACGCCCATGCGGTAGCTGTTGAAGTCGCATCCGTCCTTGTCGCACTGGCCGTTGTAGCGGTTGGAGCCGTCACCGCAGCTCGTGGCGTCAGTGCACTCCTGGAGACCCACGCCCTTGCAAGGGTGAGGGGTGTAGGCAGTCGAGATGGAGTTGGCCTCCCAGATATCCATTTCAGGGCAGCAAGCACCAATCTTACCGGCACCACCGTTGGGGTCAGCATCCGAGGGGTTCCAGCCCTCGACATTGGCCTTTCCGTTGATGAACTTGATGTCGTGAGGGCACTGCGAGTCACAGTATCCAGTTCCGTACTTGGCACCAGCCTTGTTGTTGCCCTTGCCGATGCCACCGTCGGCGGCCATCTCGACGAAGTAGAGGGCGCCGTTCAGACCACAAGGAAGCTTGGAAACGTCGACGTCAAAGGTGAACTCCTTGTTGATGAGGTTGAACATCTGGTACTTGGTGTCTGTCTCCATGAGGTAGGTACGCGAACCAATGTTGCTGGAGAAGGAGCCCTTGGTGACGAACTTGAGGGAGAGAGCGTTGTTGCTGGTAGTGATACCATAAGTGCCTGGATTTGTTAGAAACAATTTCTCCTTTTTTTTTCTCCCCCCAATTCATTCGAACAAACTTACCAGAGTAGTCAGCACCATCGATAGCGCAGTTCTTGGTGCAAGAGTCACCATCGGGGCAGTACTCGGTGCTCCAGGTGTTGCCAGTGTAGCAGTTGGTGTATCCGCCAACGTTGTGGGCCCATCGCCAGTTGGAGTCGAGCACAATGGAACCAGACTTGTTGGAGCAGTTGGTACCGCCGGTACCCGTGCAGGTTTGCCAGGTCAGCTTGGGGTGGTTCTCAGCAGTGCTGGTGCCAACCTGCTGAGCGCGGGCGGCTCCATAGAGCGAAAGAGAGGCGAAGGCGAGTGTCCTGTACATGTTGACTGGCTTGAGTAAAGAGTCTGCTGCTGGATATCGAATGTTTCTGCTTGTTGGGGACTCCCCCTTTTATATCAAGAAGAACTTCTGCTGTTCTTGAGTACTATCGGCGGTACTTTGGAAAAAGTACCTACGTGACCCCCTTGGGCGTTGCAGGCTGCAGGAGATCTGCATCCCAAGGCCCTCCTGCAGAGCCTTCTCACCAATACCACAAGTAAAGCGGCACGTCGGGAATGTAGAACGTTGCTAGAAGTGCCAAACTAATGAAGAGTAGATGAAGCATCCTTGGCTGCTTCCTGCCCGTGGGGTATTCCGGGGTACTGTGGAGATCTCTACGCCACAGAAACCAGTACTTTGCCTCAAGCAGCAAGTGGATGGGTGGGGAATAATACGAAGCTTCAGAGCACTATGTACTATGGCTAGTTAGCCAATATCATTGGCAATATAATGTCTTAGCCTTGGATGCTATTCGACGGCGAACAGCTAGCCTCATATGTATGGAGGCGAAGGTGTGGATCGGCATTGGTAACTCCATCATTGTCTTCGCCCAAATTCCTTGCCGCTGTGTCACGCGTTGTTTTATGGATAAAGACGGGGTGTGTTAGTATATTGTCACAACTGCATGTGGTTTCTGAATGTCAACCACAGTGTAAGATCTCTCATGTAGAAGATCTCTGCATCACAGCTGTAGCGCCCGGTATCCGGTTTAGTGGTTTTGAAACCTGGTTAAGATATATTGCATGGCCAACAACATGTGAGCACATATGAGCATGTCTTCTAGAAAAGAGGTGGTCGGCCCGATTTGTGAGGTTAATCTACAGTACAGTACTGTCAAGGTCATGAGGCTTACCAGCTTATACGGGTATCGGTATTGACTAAGACAGCAAGGTTTCTTCTTTGGCTCGCTTCGCTCGTAGCGCCGTAAGCATGGTGCGATGGTACGATGGCAAAGACTGGTATTTGGATGCAGCGAAGATTCTCTGCAGCAAACGCATAGCTAACTTGACAAACCTTGTCCAAGGAATCTATCGATACACATGTGTGCTCAATGAATCTCCCGGCATGCCCACATTAAGGAACACCACCTGGCAGCGAAGCCAAGGTGGATACTGGAAGAACCAGGTCAAATGACCTTTGACTGTGGGTTTCAGGAACACGTTAGGAGGAGCGTGTAGCCAAGTTGAAATGTTCCGGGATAAACGGGACGAGACTCCTCTAAAAAAATTGGCTGTGCCCTGTTCAAAGCTTCGTACGAGTGGTCAGAGTCTTCGCAAGAAGGCATCGACCCGAACCCTCGGTTAGTCTTCTGTGCTAGATAGATTGATGTCCAGGGATGTTGGCTCGCCAAGACCGGGGGTTCGCTTCGAATTTGTCCGCTTCGTCGCCCTTTGACGTGTGAACTGACAAGGTACCGATCCAGAAACAGTTGATGCGGTTAGTCCAGATTTGAGCCCCTCCATATTTGCCGTGTTATACGACGAGGTTGCGGACAGTTGAAAGTTAAAATCTTACCCTGTGGACCCGGCGTTCAGTTCAGCCTAATCAATCAACAACGGGCCAATCTAAGTTCCAACCACTCAAGACAAACTGTACGCCTGCACTTTGACGATCAGCAGTCTACAGCAACGTGATTCCCGGCGGGCGGCAATTGTTCCTGGGCCGGCGCGTAAGGTTTCTCATGTGCGAAATATTGCAGCCGGGTGTAAACCGCTGAGCCGCAATCACTACTAGTGCACAACCAACGAAGAGGTCGATGAGCTGTTTGATTAGATAATGCGCTCAAAACTCTTCTGGTCGAGATATCAAGCAGCCGCAGATTGCATGCCATATCTTTTGAAGATTATAGTACCTGGTACGATACCAGCAGAATATCTTATCTGTTAGGTCCCTTGCCAGGCACTGTCACTTGGACAGTGGCGCACAAGTTCATCTCAGAAGAGATTGCAGCGCTTTTGCCAAAAAGGGTGAAATAGAATCTGAAATGAGCCCACATGTAGGAAGGTGACATGTATGAATAAGATTGCGAGATAAGACAGGTGCTCAGGAAGGATACCAGATTCTACCTGCCTGATAGACAGGCCTGGTTTCTGCTGCTGAAATTTGGTGATGTTCCTGTGACATGAACTCCACCAGTGCCCCGCTTCGTGCCTATTTCTTGTAATGAGTTTTTCTCATGCTCTCCGTGCCCTTTTGGAACCTTTTTTGGAACCTTTTGGGAGCAGAAACACGATTCTTTCCCTGTGTAGCAGGTCTTACTATGTCCCTCTTCTCAATCACTTACTCAACTGTAGCGAAGCTCCCTCTACGAGAGAGGGTCACAGTTAAGATCCTGTAGAAGCCCTATCATTGAGCTGTAACTGTGGGACAACAAGCCGTATTCCTGCTTAAAAAACGATGGACTCTTCCGTTCTCCAACCACCACCAGGTTTGACCTCAAAAGCCACAGCTTAACAACAGTATTATTATCGAGGTCCGTTGGCTTCCAACTCAACAGGGTGTCTTGAACTTGGCAGTTCAACAGGGTATCGTGCGCTTGAAAGTTCGACCAGTTGTCCTTCAGTATCTTTTTCATGATACTGCTGCAAGTGCGAGTAACTATTGGTCTCTCCGTCCAGTTCGACACCAGCTTTGTCCATCCGTCTAACTCTTCCTCTGCTTCTCCACAAGTAAATCGCTACGATCAGGAGTGCAATTCCAATGACTGACCCAATAACGGCACCTGCTATCCATGCCTTGTTTTGTCGTTCAGGTTCAGGTCTAGATCGAAATTCAGGGCTAGGGTTAGGAGTAGCTTCCATACTACTGGCAGAGTTAGGAGTAGCTTCCATCACAGCTATACTACTGGTAGATACGCCGAATTGTAGTGTTGGCGATGCCACTAGGGTCGGCGTTGGCACAACTTCTGTTGGGGTTACGCTCAGAGCCGGGGTTGGTGTTGCGGATGTAAGGGTGCTCAATGATGTTGTTGTCGCTGGCAATTCCCGGTAGATGGTGTAAGCTTTCCAGTTCATACGGCAGCCATAGTTAATCGCAGATGGGAGTCCAGCTGGAGAGGTCGCATAGATGGTAGCCTGAACGCATGACACTTCTCCGCTGCTGACATGTGTTAGTACGAGTGAGCGTATCGAAAGCCATAGTACATAGTGCTCACCAAGGCCACACCGAACCATCATCGAGGTACAACTTGTTATCTGAACATTTTGTCGCTAATGCACAGCGACCACTGGTGTTGCAGTCACCTGCATAGGTCCCAGAGGTGATCCAAGCATCACCTGCCAATAGTGGCTCGACTGGAATAAGTTGAGTAATGCGTACCCAACACGAAGACGCGAAGGAAACGTACTAGAATCAGGAGCGATGTAGTAACCAATGAACCTTGAGTTCCATGCAGAAGTTACCTGGCAGCTTGCCCCAACCACTAAGAAAGAAAGAACGGCTAGTGTCTGTTGCACAGTGGACAGCATTGTTGTGCGAGGGGGCGATGGCAGGCACCGCGGTCTCAAAAAGGAGAGCGACTGAGGTGGGCACCAAAACAGCGAAGATACCCGCCCAGATGCCTTCTTGTTTGTATTGTGCGGGCCTGATAATCCTATGGAAGGATTCCTAAGTTGGGGGCCAAAAGGGCACATTTGGGCTAGGATGCCTGAATTTCCGTTCCCTTGGCCGTCTGGAAATTCGCAATGGGCTAGATGGTAGCTGTATTGGAACAAGCTTGTTAGCCGTCAGCCCCCCCTCTAGTCTCAAAAAAGCTATTCATATCCGAAGCTCAAAGATACAGACAGGCTAGCGCAAGTCATTGTGTTTTTAATGTTACTGTGGCTGCTTCAGTAGGGTAAGCAGCTAAGCACCGCAGAGTCTACCCCAACGCTGCTGAACAGTCCTGTAGGGTGAAGAACATACACTCTTTAGGAACTAAACGAACAGGGGCCTACCACTTGAAGAATTCGAATCAGTATTAGATATCTTTCCTTGGCGTGACGTTATCTGTCTCTACATCGCATATACATCCTAGGAAATCCATTGGTTTGTATTCCTCTTCAGCAACATCACCTGACATAGCCATGCAATGTGGCTGATAAAAACAAGTATAATTGCACACCCATGGGTGATAACAGGTACCCTCTGCAAAGTCTATAGAGCCCTTGGACCAGCCGGATCCATACTCACAAAAGAAAAGCCCCTCTTCATCCTCGCTGGCGTATGTACAGTTTGATTCGTGCTACTGTAGAATCTCGCCTCTCTATCGGTGTGTTCCACACGTAGTTCATCCGCTAGTCGCCCGCTGGCATTTGGTGCTCTCTATTCCTTCTTGATGGTGTCCGGGTCTGAGAGGATACCCTCGGCTTCAAGTCTTCGTCGTGCCTCCTCTAGGGCCCAGGTTTGGATGCTATACTATTGTTAGTTACTGCCCAAGCTTGTGTTATTTTCCCCTCGCTTCCGTTTCCCCTTGGCGTGTCCCATGGCTCCTATGACCTGCCGTTTCCACTCATCTTCGCACTGCTCTGCGCTACCCGCCAGTCCACATTTGTGGGATTAGACATACCTGGTATCAGGCTTGAAAGCATAGGCAACTACTCCAAACGCACATGCGCCTCCGAAACCCCAGTACATGGCATTTTCCCACCCCTCCTTCTCATACGCCTCGCCGGGCTTAACACCAAACAACCATCCTGATGGAGGGTCGTAGCTAGGTCCATGACCGGACCGCTTTGCTTGTGATCGCGAGAAGGCACGGGTGGCGGTGCGTGGGGTGACGGAAAGGGTAGAGGCGATGGCGCGGGAGCCGCTGGTTGCGGCGCGGATCGAGTTCATGATTGTTTTTGTGATGTTATACAACCAGCTTGAAAGAGCGAGTCAATTGTGACAAAAGATATCCCAGCGTGGGATGAGGTGGTCGTGAAGCCGAAGGGGCGTTGGCGGTGCGTCGTCAGGTCTGAGGTTCGGCGTTGGTTGCGAGAGCTTGGCTTGGCGACGGAAAGCTAGCCCTACCCGAGACGTCAGACCGCCCGATGCATCTACACATTGCGCCATCTCGACTCACACAACGGCTATCTACATGCAGTTAAAGGATATGCTTTCCGAATTCCAGGATCAGCTATTAATGTAAAGCTATGGACAAACAAGATTACGATGCACGAAGTGTTCTTCAAATGCAAGAGGACCATGCCTCTGTGAATGTAGTATGTTAGATCTAGTAGTAGCTGATAATCCATCAACGCCGGTGCCATGCCCCCAAAAGAACGCTCCATGGATTGAATAACAAATCATGCGTGTACAGGGACACGACTTTCCTCGGAATTCTCCGTTTCGTCGTGTGGCTGCTGGAATGACATGTTTGCCATACCTTGGGAGGCTTCATTGACCCGCTCTTCCGTCCTTTCATCTTCGCTCTTAGCTGCAATGCGACCCATCCTCTCTTTGCGTCTCATCTCAGTCTCTTCTAGCTCCGCAAGCCTTGCAGCCGTCTTTTCTGCTTGCTCCCTCTCCCGTTTCTCGCGATCTGCCCTTTCGAGGGCTTCAAACTCATCGTCAATCTCACCCTCATCAAGAGGCTGACTAGTCTCGCTGAGGATGTTGGTGATTTCTTCTGTAGTGGCCATCTGCTCATTGACAGCATCCACTACTCCTTGAACACCCTCGGCGCCGCCAACCTTTTCGTTCAAGCCCTTGAGTGCCGCTGCACCAGCACGCATAGCTTCTACTATCTCGACTTGGTCTGCAGCTTGTTGAAGGTCTGTGTATACTTGCTCAAGTTGGAGAGCAACGTCTGAGCGTTGAGCGAGGGCACTCTCGGCAAGCTTCTTGGAGCGGAGTGCTGCCTTGGCACGAACCATCTGCTTCAAGGCTACGGCCTCGCGAGCTGCAGCATCCGCAGTGGCGATTTTCTCCATCAACGGTGGGATCTGTGCATTGATCTTTGCTACCGTATCGCGAAGGTTGGCAATAGCGGCATCTTCCTCTGTGATGGGCAGTGGTATATGCTCGTGTTCCGGCTTGAACTTGATCGTCTGCGCGTTGTATGATATTGCCTGCTTATCGCGAGCTAGAAAGGCCAGTATGATGTTCAGATCATTTGTCGTGAGCGATGCGGAGGGGTTAAGGACGGTCGAGAAGCGCTTGAGAAAGTCGGTCCTTGATAGTACGCGGTCGGCTGTCGATGTATAGTCCTTCATTTTGCCGAGTATCTCATCCGCAGCAACTTCGACATTCTTCAGAATGACAAAGTTTCCAACCTCCATCTTGGCCGGTGCTTGCGGTTCGCCAAGTACCCCGACCTGCCGCAAGCTCCATTGTAACACTCTCCAGGGCGATGGAATCCACGACGTCTTGTATATACTCTCCTTGGAACTAAGAAAGTCTTTGAGAGGGATCATCTCCTTCTTCTGAACGGCCTCATGAAACACGGCGGGTAAGCATGTCGGCTTCCCATATTGTGGATGTTGCAGCGCTCGTGCAAGCTCGTCGGCTGCCCGAATGTTTAGGAGATCGTGTGTGGTGCCCTGGGTGGGAACGACACCCGCTCGCGCAGCATCAGTAAGCGCCTTGGTCCATGCTGCGATATTCGCATGGTAGCCTTCGGGGTTGATATCGAGTTGCTGGCGGAAGTCGGCGTACAACGATGCGAGGCGATGCTGGCTGGAACAATCAGGCAATGCAGGGCGAGCGCCAGTCGAAGCTGGACTTACTTCTTGAAGGCTTCTTCGTGCTGCAGTATGAATTCAAGCAGCTCACTCATGTCGCGCTCTGCTTTGGGTGTCCACTGCGGTTTGGTGTGCCTGGGGCGAAAGAGGGTACGCTTCCGCTTGTGACGTCCAAGCGTGGGGTCGTTGCTAAAGATGGAGACGTGGGGGCCGGAGAGGTCGCCAGAGGCCTTGCGTTTAAGCATGTGCGCGTCGGAGGATCCACGGTACCTAGCAAAGTGCCTATCCAAGCTGACGACAAGAGCCAATACGGTCTAGCGTAAGAGATGATTATTCGTGTGCTACATTGGTACATAAACCATACATGCTAGGCTGATGTGTACTGTAAGGAGTGCGGGGGCGCGTGCAGCCGCTCACCGATGCGACGCGTTGTTCCAAGGCCATGTGCCCCGCTAATCATGTCCGCCTATAGCAATCAACATGGCTGAAACAATTGGTCTTGGACCAGAGAAGAGTTGGTAATCGAGCCGTGTCTGAGATATATGAAAGGAAATTTATTCGCAAAGTACAACATGCTACGAATCATTGCTTTTGACCTTGGAGTAGCAACATGTTATACTGTCACGTATAAAGTATATCTAGACCTGGTTCATCCTATCTGCGGGAGACCATCTGTGCACGGCTTTACGTATTATGGATTGTACTCATACTACAGAGGTTCCGGAGAGAGCGTAGGTGTAGAGCCGATTGCAACTAAACAAGCGTGCTAAACCCGCATGAGTAGAACACAGCACCTCTCCATCAACAAGTCCGGACAAGGTGCAACATCCATCACTTTCTGACAATACTGATGCCACTGCCCTTGTTCTTCTCCATGAATTGCCGCATCTCCTCCAAATCTTCCATGTCGTCGTCGCTATCTCCACCCTTTGGTTCATTCGACGGTTTCGATTTTGGCGGCGCTTGTGGAACGTGTTGGGGTGGAGGGTCTCGCATCTCTTTGGTCTCTTCCTCCCATGCCTTTCTCTCCTCCTCGTCCAACTCGTCTCGTCTGTCCAGCCACCTCTCTTGTACGTCACGAGCGTCTATGGTTGCCCCATTTTCGCGCATAGCCATCTGCCAAACAGTGTCATTTGCGCCTTCGATACCACCCATTGCGAAACCTCCCGCTCGATCAATCGCCCGCAGGAGTGTCATCATACTCTTCTTGTCCTCGACCGCCAGCGTCTCAAAACCTACAAGCGCAAATTCCTCAACAAGTTCCACGATTGCCTTGTTTAGCGCAGAGAACTTTGACGTTGGTTCGTCATCGTCCATGTCCATGGTTTCATTTGCGCCAGCTGTTGTAGGACCTGGTATACCGGACGTCTGTTCGCGGTTTAGGTGCGGTAATAGGTATTGTAGGTCTTGGACTTCAGTATAGAAATCAAGGTTGAAGGGTAGGTTGGGATAGTTGCGCAAGTTGTCGATCTTGGTCAGAACGTTCAGGTGGGGAAGATCCATCTGCAGCATGCTGCGCAACGCGAGGAGTAAAGACGAGACATATAGCGATGGTCGTGAAAGGACTATCGAATCTGTCAAATGTACGACGACGAGCTGCGAGAGGTTAGCGCTCAGTTGCGAGCCATGGGTGGTGGGCGAATACTCGATACCCGAGTTTTTGTAGCCGGAAGAAGATGTTCCGCAGAGATCCGTGGTGTGTGAATAGCTCGACCTGCCCTGGACAATCGAACAAGATGTAGTCATCTGCATCGCGTAAGTATCTTTCCACCGAATCTGATTGCATGGATGTGGACCTCCGAGTTCCTTCAAGCCCTCTTCTAGCCAGTCGAAATTATGCTCCAGCTCCTCCAGAGCAAACAAAACACCGCCATTCGGGCCCAGAGCCTCTTGCTCCATAATCTCGTCAATAGTGACTAGGTCCCGGACGTCGACAGCTGGCTGGTACGAGGTGTGGTCGTTCGCGGGGTCAAGGTTGACGACTGAGCATTTGCGTTCAATAGCGCCCATGAACTGTTGCATGCCATCGCAGTAGGTCGACTTTCCGGAGCCTGGCGGGCCTATTACCAGCTGTGCGAACGGCATCTTTGTGGTTGCGAAAGTCACGTCGCTTGCGGAGGTAAACTGAGAAGGACAGGGCGCCGGGGAACTTTTGGAGGGGCCTTGCTAGCGTGCATCCCAAGTTATTTGTTTAGCTGCGGACCTCCGACCTTGCGGAGCTTCACTCCAGCTCCCACCTCTCCACACTCACCAGCAGCCAACACCGCCAACATGTCGAGTAAGTGGTCTATGTTTTCGTAGTGTTGAAGCCACTACGACAGCGTCAGCTTTTAACGCGCACTGTCTCCATTACATCCTATGAATGTGAGCGCTGCAAACTGTCGCACCGTAGTAGTGTTCCCTCGACTATATACTGGAAATTGTACACACTCTAACATGGATGCACAGGTCAATTCGAGCTTGCACAGAACCCAACTGAACCTATATCCTCCGTCAAATTCGCGACCAACAACCCAACACGATTACTAGTTTCATCCTGGGACCGCCATGTTTACCTCTACGACACCCATGCTGAGCCAGGCGGAAAGCTGCTGCAGAAGTTCGAGCACCGTGCGCCAGTATTGGATGTTTGCTTTGGTCGCGACGACAATGAGGCCTTCTCTTGTGGCTTAGACTGGGAAGTACGGAGGATCGACCTGGAGACGGGCGCGCAAACCATCATGTCTACACACTCGCAGGGCGTTCGCAACGTACTCTTCTCTGCTGCGCATAACCTATTGATTTCTTCATCATGGGATTCGACACTACATCTGCACGACTTGTCGCAACCCGGCGAGTTCTCCGCTGTCCGCCTGCCCTCGAAGCCTTTCTCGCTTTCCGCGTCACCCACCAAATTGGTAGTTGCCATGGCCAGCAGAGCGGTCAATATCTACGAACTAGAGAAGCTAGCAGCTGCAGCCAAGACGGGTGAGGAAGAGGTGAGCGTAGAGCCATGGCAGCAGAGGGAAAGCTCGATGAAGTATATGACGCGCGCTGTTTCATGCATGCCAAACGACGCTGGCTATTCGAGTTCGAGCATCGAAGGACGTGTTGCGGTCGAATGGTTTGACCCTTCCGAAGAGTCGCAGTCGCGAAAATACGCATTCAAGTGCCACAGACAACAAGTAGATGGTCAGGATATAGTGTATCCAGTCCATGCGCTGGCATACCACCCAGTTCACGGTACCTTTGCTACAGGAGGGGGTGACGGCATAGTGGCGCTCTGGGACGCTGTGGCAAAGAGGAGGATACGGCAGTACCAGAAATTCCCTGCCAGCGTTCAGACCATTGATTTCTCAAACGACGGCAAATATGTGGCGATTGGAGTAAGCCCGGGATTTGAGGATGGCATAGATGATGTACCAGACGGTGTCACTAAAGTTTTTATCCGAGAGCTAAGCGCAACCGAGGCTTCAGGTAAAAAGAAATAGGCGTATTATGACATGTTGCAGAGACACTTCAAGGAGCTCTAGGGGATGATAATTATACCAAATGATAAAGAGAACTGTAACGTACTTCTTTTCCTGGTTTTGGGGTATCACTAGTACATCAGGTTGGCCTTATGATGTGATACTTATGATATGAGTGGTCTCACGCGTGAAAGCAGCCTTTAAGAGCAGGAACATTGGCAAGTAACCTGCTTGGGCTCTTGGCTCTTGACTTCTCATGCGTTCAGGCGCCCTTTGTGAGTCAGCCGTTAGGCTTCCAGCATCCTCCGCCGCAACCACACGCATCAGCCCCAACTCCGTCAGTTTTACCAATGCGTAAAATGACTATATCTATCATGAAAAAGCGCACTTAATCAGGAAAGTAGCTACAAAATTACAATCATGGGATTTAAAGTCTCATCTCTTCTGAAGAGGCACCTTTCCTTTTTGCACATTTTCCGTCACACGTGGATTCGAATCTCTTGTCTTGCCATGTATGCTCTTCTCTTTTTGCTTCTTGTTTTGTTACAAAAGCTATTTGTAAGAACAGATTCCATGTTGATCTCACAGCACGCTTAGGTACATGTATGTACATGCCTTTCGTTCACACATGACTGTGTTACATTCTAATACATGCTCAAGGAGTGTCCAGTAGGCTGCTAGGCTTGTTTTGTGCTTATTTCAATCACTGTTACTTAAAATACATCATCAGCCTCGTATGTAAATTTCCAATATGCTCGGGTTTTCCGCAGTCAAGGATGAGAGGTGCAGATGACGTCTGGCGCTAGTGGGCTTATCGATAGTCCCTCCACATTTTCCTACATGTCGCGACTCACCCTTCAAAATCACCAAGATGGCTTTCCGCAAACGCAATGTAGCGCTTTCACGCGCGCCAGCTGCGGAAGACGCGTCGAATTCACCATCTACTCCTTCTGTAACCCCACCAGCACCAACCCCACCAGGTGTCCGTCCTTCACCCATTGACGGCCGCCCCACTACTTCAACCGGTACACCCTCGCTTGATGGGATATTGGCAGGGCATGCCGGCCTAGCACTGGGACATTCTATATTGATAGGGGAGAGCGGAACAACGGACTATGCAGGTGCATTGCTGCGGTTTTACGCGGCTGAGGGAGTAGTCCAGGGCCACAAGGTACATGTGGTTGGCATGGGCGAGGTGTGGGGGAGAGAGTTGCCCGGCATATCAGATGGCACATCAGACAAGAGGAAAGAGGGTAAAGAAAGAGCAGAAAAGATGAAGATAGCGTGGAGATACGAGGGGTTGGGACAGTTCGAGACTGCTAGAGGTGCGTCTTGTACATTTAGTCTGAATTCGATGTCGCTTCTTCAACAACTCTGACGGGTTATGTGACAGGATCTCCAAGTGCACAGAGGACGGCAGTGCAAGGCGATGGTACAACCGAAGAACAGGCTGTATTCTGTCATACCTTCGACCTCGCAAAACGCCTCACCCTCCCGGTAGGAACCGCCATTAATTATGTTCCCATACCTTCACCAACGGGTGCCATCGTATCGCCATTTCCTTCCATATTGCAAAATATAAGGCAACAGCTCGCCTCGACTCCGCCCCATACAATCCACCGGATTTTAATACCATCTCTTCTCTCGCCTGCTCTATATCCTTCGTCAGCTGCACATCCAACCTCCATACTCCAGTTCCTTCATGCTTTACGAGGGCTACTGCGGGAGTATTCTACGCGCTTGACCGCAATTATAACGCTTCCATTGACTCTGTACCCCCGGTCCTCCGGCCTCGTCCGCTGGATGGAAATCCTCTCAGACGGTGTCTTTGAGCTGTCACCGTTCCCCTACTCGCGGATGCAAGCGCTCGCTCAATCAGCCGGTACTACCAAGGATGAGGAGCGTCCACAAGGAATGTTTGCGGTACATAAACTGCCAGTGTTCCACGAAAAAGGCGGTGGCGGAAGTGTGGAGGATTTGGGTGAGGACATGGCATTCACGTTGAGCCGACGGAAGTTTGTCGTCGCAAAATTCAGCTTGCCGCCGATGGAGGGCGACACTGAGGCGCAGGAGGAAGCTGTAAGGGAAGCGGCTGGTGGTAGTGCGATGCCGAAGAAGCAAGACTTGGAGTTCTAGAACATGTAATTCGTCTGCTGTGTAAGATACCCTGCAAAGCACCGAGATGGTGAGCATGGCGCAAACTTCATCAACTCAAACACTTTCTCCTTCATTCTGAGTCGCTATCATCTCCCAGCATGTCTTCCATTTCGATTTGCTCCCATCCTCCATTGCCAGCCCCAGACCCGAATCCTCGTGTGTAGTTGCGACCGAAGGACGCGTTCCGAGGGTTGAATGTGACACCAGCGAATCTGGCACGAAAGCCCTCGCCCATGCAGGAAGATGCGGCAAGAAAGGCGAGGAAAAAGAGGAAAGGAATGAAGAACAACAGACTCAGAAGGGCTAATACGTTCATTGTGAATTGATGGTGTTGTCGGTGCCATCGGAGGTTTAAGCCTGTGCGGTGCGGGCGTTCGAGACCCTTATGACATAGTGTCGGCGATTGGTCATTGGCCTAACCGATCCCCCTGTGTTCAGCGCGCCACCCAGCTCTCTCCTTCTGCCCTCTCAAGCCTCTCCGATTGAAAAAAGATGAGCCGTATACTAAAAGCACCGTTGGGTATGCTTTTGCTGCTTTCGTGCGCCCTCAATGCCTCGGCGCACGGCGGCAAGGAGCATGCACAAGTCGACGTTCCCCCGGACGCTGATTGGGCGACTCGACACATGGCTGGTATGAGTTCCCTAACTACCTTTGTGTGATGAAACACATAAGCAGAATGATATCAACTGACAATACACCAGAGGAGCATCATATAGCCGGTTTCGACGCCGAATTCTTCTTCCGCCTGCACGACTATGACAACACTGGTCTCTGGGCAGCCATGGACATTCGACGCACCTACGGCCTCGAAGACCCGTCTAGCGCCTCAATATCTGACGCTAAAAAGCAATTGGTCGTTCAAACTATTCTCGATATGTTCGATATAAACAAAGACGGCGTAATCACTCTGGAAGAATTCGCCAAAAAGGACGCCGAAGGCACCAAGCTACCGGACTTTGGTCTAGGCCCAGGACACCACGGCGATGACGAATACGAATATGAAATTCACCACTGGGAGAAGTACCATAGCGGAGACGACGTCAAGGAGGAGGACCTGAATCACCCCGAGGACATTGCGCACTTCAAGATGCACGAGGAGAAAGAGGCTAGACAGGAGGAGTGGGAGAGGCTGGAGCTTAGGGGTGTCGTGGAAAAGAACATTCCCGAGAAGTTCAGGAGACATCGATGATCTACCAAGCGCTTACTGGGAGTATGTTTCCTGTTGACAGGTATTTGGAAATACACAAAGCGTAACGAGATATGCGAAAGAGTGTGGCAAGCATCCGGCTATGCTTCTGCATATATGGACGATGTAAAAACATGAAATAACTACGAACCAAACTATGTAATGGATACCTAATATGGATTGTACTAAAGTTGAAAACTCGCATCTGGTCACCTCTGTAAATGGCCTTCACAATAATGAGGTCCGACTCGTTTCACTGACATGGCTCTTTAGTCTTGGCTTCTTTATACGATGTCTTCAACTTGGTATTTGGAATATGCTCACATCATCCAGATTCATTTCTACGCTGGGAAAGTCAGTATTATATGCTGAAGAAGCAGAGTTTTCGTCTCATAGAAGCATCTTCGTAAGTTCCGAAATATTCAAGACACCGATTGGATTTTCTGAAACCATCAAATGGGCCTTGTGAAATCGATATTATGGAAGAGAGTGAAAACCCACGAATTTTAGGAGTTTTCGCCATTGATAGTACTACTAACAGAACAGAAGAGCGAAGGAAGGAGGAAGGTTCTCCGTCAAGAGGACTTGAGTTTAAGCACTAAAAATGCAGTATAGCTATTTTCATGCCTAGATATTTATAGTAGAGATCTACGAGATCTTTTTTAGAACTCAAAATATAGGTTTTAGATTGAAGAAATGCTGTATGCGACATTCAAAACTCAGAATAGAAATGTTGGAGACGTCCTCAATTGAGAAGGGTGAAAGGCTTCATTGCGGTCCGTTCAGACATACACGATCTTATCTCCGCCCAATTAGTCTAGCTATTAGATATGATTCAATTTTCAGCATATACGAAAGCACTACAAGCAATGTGGTGGGTGGAGGACGGGTCTTGAAGGTGAGCTTACAGTCCCAAATCGGAATGCGCTAGTACCTAACATGACTAGTCCACCCACTAGAGTGCTTTGCTCTGTTCATCATCAGCCATTCAGATGCCCTCGTCACTCTGAACGCCAATAATCTTTTGAACTTTTTAACGTCACGCCAGTGCACCATGGCTGATGAAGAAGATGTTGAGACCACCCTGATACCTAGTCTTTACAAACCACCTGCCCTGCTGCCAATTGCACAGCTTAGAGATCAGCTGCTCTATATTATAGAAACCTATCCCGTGACTATCGTTGTGGGTGAAACAGGAAGCGGTAAATCAAGTCTGGAATATTCCTGGGTGCTATGACTGACAAAAGTCTAGGAAAAACAACACAAATACCAAAATTCTTGCTTGAAGCAGGTTGGTGCAGCAGCGGTCAGCAAATAGCCATCACACAGCCTCGGCGCATAGCATGTACCAGCGTCGCAGCAAGAGTGGCAGAAGAGTTGGGAACTCCACTTGGCCAGAAAGTCGGATATAGCATTCGTTTTGAAGATGTTACATCAGCAGCTACGCAGATCAAGTTCGTCACAGATGGTCTCCTGCTGCGCGAAATGCTCGTCGACCCTCTGCTTTCACGCTACTCTGTCATCATGGTAGACGAAGCACATGAACGTAGCTTGTCTTCAGACATTTTACTGAGTTTGTTGAAGAAAGTTCTGAGAAAAAGGGACGACTTACGAGTAGTTGTGAGTAGCGCTACGTTAGAGGCTGAGCGGTTCCTTGACTTCTTCAACCCGGATGAAGGGGAAAAAATCCATGGCAAGAGCAAGGAAGAATTTGGTTACATTGTTGGCATTGAGGGGCGCACCTACCCGGTCGAAATTCAATATCTGCAAGAACCAACGAACAACTACGTTGAAGCAGCCGTGGACACGGTTGTAAAGATTCACAAGCACGAAAATGAGGGCGATATTCTCGTGTTTCTTACGGGAAGAGAGGAAATAGATGATGCAATTGATAAGATCGGAGATCATATGGCCGAGATGTCCTCGTCTCAGCCAAAACTCATGCCTCTACCTCTCTACGCTGGTCTTCCTGCAGAAGACCAAAATCTCATCTTCACCAAGCCGCCACCGGATACACGAAGAGTAATCTTTAGTACCAACATTGCGGAAGCCTCATTGACCATCGATGGTATTGTGTTCGTAGTAGATACAGGCTATGTCAAGCTCCGCGCATACAACGCAGACCTAGGAATTGAGAACCTCGCTGTCGTTCCTGTGTCAAAAGCAAGCGCAACACAAAGGGCCGGACGTGCTGGACGAACCAGACCGGGCAAATGTTTTAGGTTGTATACAGAAGCCGTGTATGAGGGGTTGGAGGAGGCCACGTTCCCTGAGCTCGCCCGTTCAAACCTCGCACCGGTTATTCTCCAACTTCTTAACCTTGGTATCACAAACGTGGTTCGTTTTGACTATCTCTCTCCACCACCCTCGGCGCTCATTACCCGTGCTCTGGATCTCCTCTATTCCCTCGGTGCCCTCGATACCCATGCCCGTCTGACAAAACCTCTCGGAACGCGGATGGCCGAGTTGCCCCTCGAGCCGATGCTTGCGCGCGCTCTTCTGAAAGCCGCAGAGCCGGAATTTGGATGTCTGAACGAAATGCTCACAATAGCAGCTATGATGACACTCCAAGGAAACACATTCGTATCGCATGATGGAGGCAAGAAACAGCTCGATGCTGCGAGACGACGGTTCGCGGTCGAGGAAGGCGACCATCTCACGCTATACAATGTGTATGAGGCTTTTGTGAAAGAAGGCATGGGTAATACGTCGTGGTGCCACTCCAACAACCTGAACCACAAAGCACTTGTAAAGGCAGTCAGTGTACGCAAACAGCTGGCGGCTTATCTTGACCGTTTTGGCGTCAAGGAGAACGTGCTTTCATCGTCTGGTGTGCTGAGGGTAGGGGGTATACCAATGGCCGAGCGCGTGAGGCGTTGCCTTACATCTGGCTTCTTCGCCCACGCAGCGAGAATGAAGGCAGATGGTAGTTTTACTACTATTGACGGTAAGACGACGCTCTGGGCACATCCATCGTCTGTATTCTTCACAAGAAAGGCGGATTGGGTCATCTACACTGAGATACAGTCTACGCGGGACAAGATTTACATCCGGGACCTGAGCAAGGTGGATATGGATTGGCTGACCGAGTATGCGCCCGAGTATTACAAAGTCAAGAATGGAGGGAGATGATTGTGTTGAACGAGTCTATTATGAAAACAAGAAATCAAATAAGTAAATTGAAGGGGTATTATCAAAACCGAGCCAAAAAAGACCGACATGTAGCCCTACGAGTCCAAACGCCCGCCTGTAACCCAATATCGTAACCGTCATGTTCCATGGTAGTAGCAAAGCTCTATTTGCAAGCTTCTACAAACAATTCTCGCATCCCCTTTAAGAAGCCTGCTAGATCACGAGTCTCGTTCAATCTCTCGACTACCCTTTCAGTCTCTTCGCGCTCTACTTTGGGTCTGACTTCCAGCACTTTGTAGTCGCGCTCGCTAGTATCGAGTTCAAACCAGGCCTCGCGATCCCACTCTCTTTCATCTACGTTGGTGTACACGAACTTGAGTCTGTCGTCTTTGCCCAGTCCCTCAATCCTCAGCCCGAGATAACTCTCCCAAAAGTCCAGCTCGGGCTCGTTGTAGCGACTCTGGCCATCGAGGTATCGGCGGTGCTTGAGCTGGGCTTCACGGCGGGCAGAAATGGTCTTTTGTAGTTCGGCGATTTGGGCGCGGAGATTGTCGCGGTGTGCGAGACGCTCGTCGCGCTGCAGGGTGAGAGCGGAGATGGCTTCTTGCATCTCCGAAGTTTCCTGGGACTCTTTGGCGACGGTTTGGCTGTGTTGGGCAGTTTTGAGTTCGAGAATTTCAATGTCGCGCTTCTTCATGCGTTGATCCTCTGCGTGTTTGTTAGCACTTCGGAATCGACTCAACACATTTGTTGTAGTTGGGCATGCGCACCATGTAGTTCTGCCACGTTCATGCGGAACTGATTGCGCTCTTCCAACACTCGCCGGCGGCCATTTTCGATAAATGCATCGAATCGCGTTGTAAACTGGTTCATGCGACTGCGCAGATCGTCAAAGCCAAAGTTGATTGAGGGCAGTTGGTCAGCCATGGACGGAGCGTCATGCGAGGGGGCACGCATGGTCGTGCTGAGAGATGGCTCAAAAGTCGTCATGATGGAAGTCGGGATCACGGCTTATTGCTGAATATCTCTTCGAAACTCTCGTTGTCTGTCAGTATATGACGTTGGTGGGATAGGAGGATGAATGTGTTTTGGACGGTTGCCGGGTAAACAAGACGTCCGCGCTAAAGCCAAGAAAACATCTGCGGGGCGCATGCACGTGCCGACGTGCTCAACGGCGCTAGTACACCTTTTTGACCCACCGCGGTTTTCTTCCACTGTCGCGTTCACTGCTCATTGCGCCTGCTGGGTATTCGACCTCAAAACCACCCTCCGTTCGCCGTTTTCAAAGCATGATTCTATACCGCCGAGCTGCGATTGCACGACAACCTTTACAACGGCCAAATGGCTGACAAACTGTCTGGAGATTTGAACTACGGCTACCCTGGCACTGCTATTTATGATTTAGAGAATAGCGAGTGGCTGTTTGAAAGACAGTACACAGCCAAGAAGTTCAGGCAAATCCGGACCTTGGAGGGCCTACGCCTTGTGGATACGCTTGCGACAACACCAATCCAGCTTGTTCATCCTCAAACCTCTGCGAATAAGACAAGCACGCAAGAAGAAGCCAGAAACCTGGTACAGGACATACCTGAAATTGCGGCTGCAGCTGCGATACTTCCCGATTTAGGTCTCGTCTCTGCCGCGATCTCAAAAACAACTTCCGTTTACGACCCTCTGGTTGGCAGTTTACTGTCCTTCGGTTCCATTACCCTCGAAGACAGATATGAAGGTGCACGACAGGTCGCTGCGCTACCCGTGGGAGAAGCTGGGAATATACTTCAGTTGGCGGTACTAAACAAAGAAAGGCTGGGATGGGGTATGGTCAGAAAAACATGGATAGATGGATCGACTTTGAAGGAGGCCGAGAGAGGATACTGGAACGAGGACGCTGCACCTATACAGCAGATCTGCTTCTCTCAATCGGAGGATCGGAGCTCTCTACTCGCTGTGCGACTTCCCACACGCACAGTTTTCTTCCACCCCATCTGCTTCCGCCAAGCTCGTGCAAATGGATCTTCGGCTTTCTACGAACTCCCCCCATCGACGATTGATACGCGCCCTATCTTCAGCATAGACAAGGAAAGCACTGGCGGGTATACTCATTGCCATGTAGCGTTCAATCCAAGCTTCCAGTCACAATTCGCCATTGTTGACCAGAGCCCAATGTGGAGCGTGTGGGAGATTGACCGTTCGCGCAAGAGTGAAGCTTACATCCCTTCATGTCTTGTTCGCGGTCGAATCACCAGCTCAGAAACTGAGGATGTGCTTGGCGAAGATGGATGGGCGAGAGTGCTCTGGGTAGCCGATGTTAATACGTTGCTAGTCTGCAATAGACGCCATTTGAGCATTGTCAGCATCAAAGGAGGGGAACCAAAGTACCTAGCCTGCCCGACATTTCTCAACCAGCGATCCGCAGAGTGGTTCTTAGACGCCAAGCTTCATCCAAAACATGCGAACCAAGTCTTCATTTTGACCTCTACCCGTCTCATTCTGGTGCTAGTCAACAGTTTAGCTGAAGAAAGTGGTTCGGCCGAAAAGTCAGTGACGACGGTACTGGCATCATGGACACACTTTCGGGATGCAGAAGACTTTACTCTTCAGACGACTGTACAAATGCTGTCAGAAGATGGTAAGTTACCTACTGATCAGTCCATGATAAGGCTTGCTAACATGAACAGAATCGTGCCTGGTGCTTTATTCGCAGTTGAACAATCTCATTCAGGTGTATACCTTTGTGGAGCACCCTGTAGGCGGTTCCTCTATGGTAGCGTGTTCTGATCCTGGTATACTGGATTTGACCATCGATGGGTCAGACCGGATCGCTAACCTATACATGGAGCCTATGCAACAGGGGGGCATCAGAATGGACGCAGACTTCTTTCGGCTGTTCGTGGTACTGTCTACCTCCAGTATTCACGAGCTCGTCATTTATACTGCGAGGTCGTCGACTCAGGAATCGTTCGCTACCGAAGAGGCAGTCGAAGACTTCACACGCAGTATGATAAGACGCCCTAGAGTCGGCATTTCCAAGACGGAAGTGGTAAACAAGGAGGACGAGATAATAGTCCCAGATGGTTTGGATGTTCTAGACGTACCGAGCTCCAAGATCCCATCAAGGATTTTGAAATCAGACCAGGTCTTGGGAGACGCCCCTGTGCAGACTACACGTAACAACGAACTCCTGTACGAGGCCCTTCAGTGCGCAGAAAGCCCTGAAAGCAACGTAGAGTATTCTTTGGACATCACAGCGGTTCTGGGTGAGGTGAAGCAAATGCTCGCCGACGATCCTGACTCTGTGCCACTGCCAATTGGTACGCTGATGGAGTACGCCAACACGAAGCTCCAAATTCCGGACGTGGACGAGGCATCTTCGAATCTCCAAGATCTATTAGCCGAAAATGAAGAAAACGCCCTATTTCTCCAGCGAATCGCGTCGGCGCAGACACTTGGCTTGGCTGAGGAGGAGGACGATCCTACCATCTCCGATATTTATGATACCCTGCTAGAAACGTGGGTCGCACCTCTACCACCTACGGTGCCTAGCCGTGTCCGGCAATCGAAGGAGCAGATTGCCCGAGGCATTGCTGCTGAAGTATTATTCTCCAGCCTGCGTATACGAGAGCATGAGCTAGAAGCTGCGATCACTGGCTCACGTCTGGGCTTAAGCCAGGATCGGGGCATCGCATTACCCATTTTGCCATCGCGACCGAGGAACGGCGATTTCCATTTTCCATCGCAGCTCTCTAGCTCTCAACAACTTCCAACACCTCCACAGTCTTCTGTGCCTCCATCGTCCTTGCCAGGCTCATCACCACCTGTCTTGCCTGTCACGCAAAGTGCTCTACAAGATCCTTTGGCGCGACTAGGCAAGCATCTGCGCAACAGAAACCCTTCCAAAGACTCAGTGGGTATTGGTGCAAATGCATCTCGGATTCTCAGACAATGGCAAGCAGGAGATGATCCAAACAGTTACAATTGGACTGCCACGGAGCGGGACCTTCAGCCCGAGGACATGGATGAAGAAAGCCAAAGGCAACGCGAGAAAGAGCGTAAAGCCAAGGAGCGCAGGGAAAGGCGTCAGCAACGTGAAGATGAGTTGGCAAGGGCGAAGACTGCAAGTCAGCCCCTATTATTTCCAAGAAGCTCTCCCGGACCCATGTTGAGTGGCATGGTCAACAGCAGTCAAATACCGATGCAGAGTCAGATTCCAAGTCAAGAGCCAGTATCCAGCTCGGGATTCATAGTACCCCAGAGTCAGATCGAGCCGGGAAAGTTTGGGGGAAGGTTGGAAAAGAACAAAATGAAGAAGAAGAAGAAGAGACTGGGTGGCTTTTGAGCTGGAGTTGCGCCGAGTGGCTTTCATGTTTTGGTGTTGTAGCACGTCAATAGACTATTAGCCCAAAACCACTAGCAATGTATCATCCATGCTACTGATCTATTCCAAGAATCCATCTATGTAGCATTACACTCGTCCTCAACTAAACACTGTGTAATTTTAAGATGTAGTTAGCATACGTGTGCCAACAACGAGGTAGACATACTACTGGTTAAGGTTGTAAGCTCCAGAGCAACACAACATGGTCGTATCCGTTCGTATCCGAAGTGCCGCTGGCCTTCAAGAAGATAACATGTAGATTTGATGATGTCATTGGGCGCGGAAGGAAGGAAAGATGCTCCTCCTTTTCGTACCACCGAGAAAGTGGGGTTGGAGGGGTAGCTTCCGCATCCATGCATTCAAGCTTATTATGCTTCGGCTGCACTGCTAAGTCCTTCCTCCGCTTCTTCACTACTTTGATACAATTCTGATTAAATTCAGTACATCAGTCTTGCATCTAAGCCGTTGTCTGAGCCTACATATCCTTACAACTTTTACTGATTCCGAAATGTCAGGCTTTCCATCTCTCCAACCAGCCTTTACGGTCCGCGTCGAAATCGATGCGCCAATGCAGGTCGGTGGCCAGTCAGGGCCCCAACTAGCCATTGTGCCCATGACAAGTGGCACCGTAAAGAGTGAAGAGGGCTTCGAGCCTAAACTCGACGGGGTGCTACATGGTGTGGGATACGACTACATTCACAACGATGCCGATGGTGCAAACATGAGACTCGATGTGAGGAGTCAGGTCAAGTGCGTCTTGTAATATCGTTTCTCAAAAGGAGGCAGTATTTAACAAACCATACACAGGAATCATGATGGGACCGTTCTTGCAATGTACTACAAGGGAACCGTCAAGCTTACTCCAAGCGTTGGTGCTATCTTGACTGGCGCTCCAGATGCAAAGACCACAGAGTACGGCGATTCGTTTGTCAATTTCTCATTCGAGACGGGCAACCCCAAGTATGCTGAGCTGCAGAACGGAACATATGTTGCTGCTGGTCATTTTGTCAAAGAGGCAGGGAACCCTGGAACTATTGTAGAGTACAAGGTTAGCAAGGTTGTGTACAAGGCGTGAAGCATCCAGCGCTGCTAAACGACTTCAACTGTGCTCCTCAGAACAATGAATAGAAAACCACACAAGTACTATATCATTGCTTACGCAAAACTGCATCCAGTGTAGGATATGCCAGTTGCCGCATCGATCTTGGCACTGTTTTCAATGTTGTCACCGCCGCTTTGTTTGTTGTTTGCTCGCTCCTTCCCCACTTTGGACTGGCACGCAAACACTCTTCACCTTCACCTCAAATGGATATTTGACCTATTTCCGGAACTTACTCTGACGCATCTGACTTGAACCTCTACATAAAAATCCTTTTGCAGCTATCTTGAACTGCCACTTACAGTACAGGTGAGTATACATGCATCGTCAATTGTAGCTTGCTTGGATTAGAGATGCTAACCAAAAGACATACTAGGTATTCAAAACTTGCATTCGATGAGTTTGGCTTTCCCGCACAGTAAGAAGCCTCGCAAACAGTATGTCTTGGGTGACTTCGTCAAATATGCTACTGGCATATTTGCGGCTCACTTTGTCGCCATCTCGGACATGGGTCTCTACGAATTCGCAGAGAAGCAATACATAGACAAAAACCTACAATGCAACACCCGTCACATGGTCCTAACTGGCCATTATCATCGGAAGAGCAGCGGCCCGCCCGTCTGGGCTGAATCTACAGGCGAAGAAATACGGTACTACAAAGGTACCGGTTGTCGAGTAGAGCCGCTCATTCCGGATATCCAATCCGGCAAGGTCTACTACGATCCGCCATTCAGCTACATTGGCGGTACAATCAGCAATGGTGATGCTGGACGCGGTATGACGCAGGAACGAAAATTCCAGCGAGCAGTGGTTGAATCTGCCATTCACTTCATCTTCCTCGCAACGGGGAGATTGAATCAAACTTTGGATATCACAAACCCGGATTTGCTTGGTCATTTCAAGGTTGCCCTCGTAAATCTTCTACAGAATCGGGAGGCTTACGAAGCGTCTCACCGTACTCCAATTAAAGAGATTCCGGCACGCGTTGAAGAGACAGCTATCACTAAGAATGAAGCGCACCCTTTCAAAGTTAGTGAGACGAGGCCTAGAAATTCTGTATTTGATATCATACGACGGCCTCTGCCACCTATTGTTGCGGCTTCACTAAACCGTAGAGTTATCGATTTAACGTGTGATGTTCCTGGATCTTCATCTCAAGGTAAGCGAATTGAAGTATATTTCTGATTGACTAGCTAACATTATAATGTAGCAATAGATGAGTGCGTACTTCTCGAGCAACAAGTGCAGGATCTCAAAGCGAAGCTCGAAGAACAAAGGGCGAGGACGAGTACACTTGAAGCGAGACTAGCTCGAGAGAAACTTCGACGGCAGAGATTACGAGATCAGCGCGAAAGATGGAATATACAGAAGCGAGCTTTGAAGGCGAAGGTTACTGCAAAAAGACAGCGACCAGCACAGTGCGAGGCGACCGGGCTTGAGCATCAGCTTCAAATTGCAGCGGTGAAGGAAGAACTTGAGTGTGAGAAAAAAGCGAGGATGTTCTGGCAGTACAAGCACAACAGCTTGCCGAGAATGCTGCTTGATCGCAACCGACTTTCGATTACTTCAGGGGCTCCAAATAATCAAGAGTCGAGTGTGGCGTTGGTAAGAACACCAGGTGCAGGAGCACACAAAGGCTCATTCGGTTCCGGCCGTTCTCGACCGTTGTGAATACAACTTACCAAGTTACGAGGAGCTGATAGCACTACGTTATACTTTCAAGCAAGGATTTAAACAGATGGGCAGTGATGTATTATCAGGATGCCTTGTCCAAACAGTAGTGTATACCACATGAGTATGAATGTTTCCCAGAATGAAACCCATGCAGACAATCGAACCGACCTGTGACATCAGAAATTATATGTACGTCAAGAGTCTTGGGTACTAAACTACGGCTACCAAACCCGAGCCACACCCTCTCCTCATCTCTCTCTCTCTCTCTCTCTAACAACCACTTCTCCTCGGCTTTTTCTAGCCCCTCTTTTCTTTTCTTTTCCCTCCCAAAAAGTCCCTAAAATTCCTCGCCTCGAGATCCGCGCTGAACCCAAGCACAACGTCACTTTTTCCGAAATTTCCAAGTTTAGTACATGTGGCTTCCCACATCCACACCCACACACCGTTCGGCCGGGTTCGCGCTTTTTCTTCCTTTTCTTTTTCTTCTTCTTTTTTTTTGCTTTTTTCTTCGATCTTGGTTAGGGCCTTACAAGCCCGAAACTAGCGCAGGTGTGACAGACCGTCGCTTGCGTATCCGTATGCAGGTGTTGTAGGTGTGTTTCCAAACGTCAGCCACGCATCGAGAGAAGCTAGCCAGTATGCGAGATGGAGTGGCGGGACGCCTCCATCTTTGCCGCATTGCGATGCTGATCGGAAAGCTAGGACTAAAGGCGATGCATAAAATCTGAGCTAGCATTGTGAAGTGGGTGCGAAGCAGCGAAACGCCATGGTGCCTGTACTAAGGTGTACTACTTTTACATGGAACGGTTGCTTTTCAGGTACACATGCGAAGAAAACAAAAGAAAGGTACTCAGAACATCGGTGCATGGCTCACACACCCACACAAGACATGTGTGCACTTCCCGCCGCTTTGGTAACCCCCAATCGTCGTCTATCAACAAACATCCCCCCGACTTTACATATCTGTTTGCTCATTTGCAAAATCATACGAGATGGGGGGGATATCATGTCGAGATTGAGAATCAATCAGTCAGTCAATCCCGCGCGCACCAACCAACCCCCACTCCCCCTGAACCGGTGGCTTCCGACGTCGTGAGTACCTAAACGTTTTCTGGCTCCCCTTACCCGTCTGCCAGGCGGCCGACCCCTCCCGCTCCCATACGTACTTATCTCGTGGGGAGAGGTCTTGGCAGCGGCCGTTAGTCGGGCGGCGGCTTCTGCTAGCGGCTATTTTAGTGTGGGAGGGAATGGCCTCATAAAGTTTGTTTTTCTTGGAGACCGCAGCGCTACTAGTCGCGGACACAAGCGGGTGGTGAGCAAAAGCAAATCAAGGTTGCGTAAGGGGGCTTATTAACCAAACTTGGTAGCGATTGCAGTAGTCGTGGGCCTGATGATCTCTAAGCCCTCGAGTTGCGTATGCATTATCGATGCATTGGTGAGACCATGTTGGAGAAAGTGAAGAGTATGGAAGGCTGATTGGTAGATTGGGACTATCGTGCTCGACGTATGGGTAACCAATTAGATTGCTTGTGTCCATCTCCGTGGAGAACGGGAGAAACGGCGCATGTGTGACTACATACGATTGCAGCAAATCGAGAGTCATATACACGCTACAAGACGTAATGCTGATGCATCGGTGTGCATCCATGTGAAGTGGAATGGTTGAGACCGGGGTATTCTTAGTCGTATTATACATTGTTGCTGCTAGGGGCTAACGGGCGAATTAAGACTCAAACCCGAAACTTTATGATTATAAGCGCGATGAAAGTAGTATAAGTCGTACAGATGGTGAGTCAGCCTCGTCGTCATTCAAGGTCGTAATGCACGCTATGCAAGTGTAGATATGCGTAAGCAACAAAAGAAAAAGGGTCGCTAAATCGAATCGTATGGGAGAAAGATACCAATGACGCCAGTGGGCGTAAAGCGGATGAGTATTGAGGGTCGCAATTCAGAGTGAAGGCTGTCGAGTATGTCGGGGGCGCAGTGCTTGTTGCGAGCGATCGTCGAAAAAGATACACGCAACTTCCACATGTCTGATCGAACGATGGCAAACAAGCATAGGTACCAATAGGATCACATGATACCCCTCAATCCGCGAAAGCCTCCAGTTTTGGCAGAAGAAGAGGGTTTCCTCTGATCCCTGTCTTTGACCTTCTTTCCAATGTTCTGGGCGCCTCCTGCTTTTGAATCAGCGTTTATCGTGTAAAAAGAGACTCAAATAACTGACCTCGACCATATATTCGAACCTCCGACTTGGCTTCAACCTTGTCTTTCTTATCTCTGCTTGAGCTACCGTCTGTGTCGACAGAGAAGCTACTCTTCCCGCTCGAATGAAGCTGCTGAGATTGCAGCTGGCCGCCGGGAGAAGCGTCGTGATTGCCAGCATAGTCAGGCCCATAGCCACCGCCGAAGCCGGGATAAAGCGATGGGGCTGTTTGAGAGCTCTGCGTTGGCCCAAAATTCGTAGATCCAAACCTAGCAGAATAGTCAGGCATGGTGCCTGACACGGGGCTTTGTGCCGACTCTGGAGAGAGATATTGAGGATAGTGTTCCTGTTCTTCGCTAGGCGCTCGGTCTGTCGACAGAGGAGGCAGGTACTTTGAGTTGTAGCTATTTGCGTGTCGTACACTTGAATCTCGACTGATTTGTGATACGCCAAAGTCAATTTGACCAGATTTGTCTCGAGGGTAAAGCTGCCCAATCGCAGCTTGTTGCTCGCTCTCAAGTTCGTGGTATTTCATCTGCAACTCTGTGTATTGCTCCAGGAGGCGGTAGTGGGTCTTTTTCAGTTGCCGGAGCTTGGCATCGCTCGCCGCCAGCGTCGAGTCGAGCATTTGTTGGACAGACGGGGGAAGCTGCCCTGGCTTACTAGCGCTCTTGTCAGTCGTCTGCAGCCGTGCCTCCAAATCCATAATGCGGCGTTCGTAGGCCTTGATGGAGCGTTCGTGCTCTTGCTCGCGGCTATTCAGCCGCATATTTGCGATTTCCAGGTCATTTCGCAAGTCGTTCCGCTCTTGCATGAAGATATGCAGCTCTTTCCTCTGGTCTTCAAAGGAAGCAATTTTCTCTTCTGCCATTTCCAATTCACGTCGAACATCGCTATAATCTTCAAGCTCATATTCCAGCGCCTTTGTTCGTTGCTGGGCTTTGAGCTGCTCTGCCTCAGCTCTTTCCACGATCTTCTTCAGCTGCTCACAATCTGATTGCGTCTTTTGCAGCTCGTGTCGCAGACCACCCTCGTCGTTGTGCCAGGTCTTTTCACTTTCCTTGTATGATCGCACCTTTGCATTAAGCTCGCCTTCCCATTTCTTTGACTGACTTCTGCTCGTAAGTGTCTCTTTCTTCAACTGAGCGTACAACTCGTTTGCCTTGGCAAGCCGGGCCTTCAAGGTCTTGTTAGTGTTTATCAAATTTTGAGTCTCAGCCTCTGCAGTGGCTTCTTTGATGTGCTTGCGTTGGAGCTGACCAATATGCACAAGATGCTGCAACTTGAGATAGCGTTCAAAGTTGAGGTCATTGCGAAGCAGCATGATTTCTCTTTGTAGAGATGCCATGGTGTGATTCTGGAACTCGTTTTGACTGATGTTGTTTTGGCCGGATACTGACTGTATAAAACTATCCAGGTTGGACTGTTCAGCTACAAAGCGATGAGCGGCAGCTGTAGACAGGCTGTGCAGGTCGGTTTTCGGGGCTTCTCTTGCAGGTGGCAGGGTGGGGGAGTCTGTCATGTCGCGACTTTTTAGCAAGGGAGAGGCCATGGATTTGATAGATACTGTAGACTTGACTGATTTGCACCGTGGGGGAATTTCAAAGTTGTCAGGGATGTCTGGAATGTCGCCCGGAGGGATATTCATTGTTGACTGTGTGTTGCGTCTGCTCTCGTCTGAGCCGTGAACTGTTGCTCCGTCTTGATCATCTAGAGTGAAGTGTGAAGGAATATCTGGCACAGGTGGTAATGCTGCGCTGGGCGGTGGACCAGGGTCTTTCAACGTTGACGATACGGCCACACACAACCCCATGCACTCGATAACAACATCTGCAGGATCGCTCTTCAGCCACTTGTTTTCGCTAAGCTCATCTTCGGTCGTCGTGGTGAACATATTGGGGTGCAGCAAATGGACTTGGCGATAGGGTTCGGTGCGGGTGTGTATGAGATCTTGGTCCAAATCGAAGTCGTGCGCGCCAGGGAAGTTGAGAGATTTGAGGTACTTTCTTGGCTTTCGCACAAAGCTCATGAAGTTGAGTGGGAAAAGGCCATAGAGGAACGTGAAGTAGTGCATAAGTGTGGGTGGCGGTGATTCCGGATAATCGACGGATGGCTGCAACTGCTCCCACACTTGCTCCGAGTCATCATGCCCCTCCTCCTCCTCATCATCTTCGCTGTCGTCATAATAAGCATCCAAATCGGTTGCTTCATCGTTTTCGCTATTTCCTAGCTTGTCCCAACACAATATCCTACAGTAGACAAGGAACAGCTTCACTAGGTGGTGATCCGAAGTCAAGGCTCCGCATATGTGGGGCAAGAACATGATGAGAACCACAAGGGCAAGCTCTACTACAGTGGATGAGTTGTCAGCAAGCAGGCATTTTTCCAGGTGCTGGATGAGCGGAGTTTCGAGAACCAGATGTAGGTGGGGTGGTTGGAGGCGGACGAAGGCGCTGAGTAGATTGAGAGCCTGGATGCGGTGTTGCTTGTGCACAAAGAGTTCATCAAGCCTGAGGAGAAAGGCCTACACAAGTCAGCGTCAATTGCGTCTCTAGGCATATTACGCCTACCTTTGGCATCTTCCGCCCAAAGGCCACTAGTATAGTTTCCAACTCATGCGCGATGAAGCCGTTTTCCGGGGAGACGGGCTCGTCAGGCGAAGAGGGAACCGCGGACCTCGCCAGGTAGATGTCAAGTATTTTAGTGGTAAAGAGATGTGACAAGCGCGCCTGCTCTCCGTCCTTGTCCGCTTCAGAATCATACACTAAGATGCTCTGAACAAAGGCTTTTGCGTCTTCCATCTCAGTCTTCTTGTAGCCCACACCGTCGATGATGGGCTTGAAAACTGAATTCCACCAGGCCGTCAGGCGCGCCTCTCCGGTGATTGCGGGCCGCAAGATTCGCAAAGCTGAGAGGAAGGCGCCGCGCTTGTCAGGATTGTTTGCAACATGGCGGGTGTAGAGGGCATGTAGGTCTTCATGGAAGCGGTGCGAGTCATGGTCATCGATGTCGTGGTAGCGTTCGAGGAAGGCATCAATGGTTGCGCAAAGGTCGTCAGGCAGCGGATGGGAAACGACATGGGCAGAAAAAGTAGTGTTGAGAGCCTTGAGGGCCTCGCGCATGGATCTTGAAGAACAGGTCAGCACTGACATAGGCAACAGCGCATGGCTTTTGGGAAATTTTTATGCTTACCCGGACATGTTGAATTGGATGCCCGCGTATTGATGCTACTGAGGCGCTGTGGCCAGCATCAGAGGGCGACTGGCAGGTCTATGAGTGCTTGACGACGGGATCCAAGGTTCAGCCGACAGGGAGACGTCACGGGCATATCACTGCTTATATAGGCCGAGTCCTGGGAGACTAGGTGTGTGTGTTTCGAGGGCGGGCATGCGTGGGGTGAAGAGGTGGAGGATAGTGAGGGATGGGCGCACGAGACAGGACAAATGTGGAGGATGTGAGTACATGAATAGTAGGCATGCCATGGCCCGGCTTTCCAGAAGCCTGGGGGTGCTTTTGGGGACGTGCATGGGCTCGTTGATGTGCAGACGGCATTAGTGGACATGGCAGCATGCATAGCAAAAGCAACTGCAGCGTTCAATGCCCCCGTTCGGTCAAGGATGCGACGATGCTCTGGTCCCCCTCCCTCCGCCCGGGGCACCGCCTAGCTGCGGCAGAAGCAACCATGGCTGGTCTGCGCACGTGCACAGCCGCCCATCTGCACGTGATCACCCGTTGCAGCGTCGCTTCCTGGCCTGCCTTGCCCTCACGCCACCCGTCTGCCATACATCTGCCGGCCAGGCCTCCCAAATTTCTCTTCATCCTTCTCCTATTCACTCGCGCTCGCCCAGACCTGCCCTCCCCACCAGCCATGTCGCTATCTCTGGGCCCATGTCTTGGTGTCTTGCCCACCTGCTCCAGTCGAGCATAGCACCGCTGGGCGATTACCACCCTCCTACCCTGGCCTCTGTTACTCACCTTCGATCCGGACCAGGGTCTCTTCCGTCCCACATTTAATAAGCACTGTGTGGGATCCAGTTGCCCACCAGCAGAGCAAACAGGTGCATTCTCCGGCATGCCGTGAATGCTTCGTCTAATCCGCCGCCATGCCTCCCACACTATCGCCAATTACCGGTACCGACACAACGGTAACCTTTGGGCCGGTCGCGTGCCTGCATTCTGCATCTTAGTCCGCTGCTTAACGTCAAACTCTTATCACGCCCTGTATACAGCTGCTGTCTTCAGTCGCCCCTCTGCTGCCAGAAGCATAATTCCACCGAGGAATGGGGTCCTGAACGAGTGTAGCTTCCAAGCTGCCTGGAAGCCAATGCAACGTGCAGCCATGTGTGTTGAGCGGGAAACCGCCAAAATAGGCTTCTCGTTAATACATGTGCAATCTAACACCTATCCCGTCCCGTTCCAATCATCGGGTTTCTCCATCTTTCAATTCTCGACAAAGTGGATACCTGCTCACGTCAACATCCTTAGGTGTAGCGACGTTTGGACAACCCCTCTACCTATAGGCACACAGCGCTTACACTCAATCCACGTGTCGGGTAAGGATGAAAAACTCTGTACAAGTACACCTAGAGTCAACCGGATTCATTGCATCCAATCGTAAATTGGCGTTACCCTTCATTGTGCCTTGGTAGAATTCTCGGAACTGGATGGCGCCTGTGCTTTTCCGCAATAGCTTGACGCACAAAAGGCAGCTCCACCCATGCGTCGTAGACAAACACTGCGACTGAACCTCTTTTCTGTATACCATCAGTACCTCTTGGGGGACTAAAATAGATGGATCAAAAAAACTAGGTACGTTCAGCATTCAGTCTTAAACACAGCCTGGATTATTACAAAGGGCATTATAACCTTGATAAAACATCTAGAACTCTTCCCAAGTGGGGAATCTTTCAATCACGTACTTGTCGTATCTAGGTAGTGCGTGGTCTTAGCTTTGTTGTCCAGTTGCAGTGTAGTGGAAGGGGCAGTTTCGATCCGGCTATTTCAGGCGCCCGAGAGGCATACCTGCTATGATGACAATTCTCCAAAGTCCTTTACAATCGTCTTTTCTCGGGTGTCCCGGATGTCGCTGCAAGACATTTGTGGACCGGATCGTCATACATGGAGACACGAGGAACATGGCTTCTGCGGTGGCCGCCTTAGATAAACAAACTTTGGTCGCCGACCTCGTATGATGCTCCACTGAATCTCACTGCACTCGCCCAGTTCCACTTGTACGTGCTCATGTCGGGATCTGGGCTGGCTTTCTTGTGAAAGATCTGAGCAGATGGCTCGAGCTATCACATTCTCAGATTTCGGACTCTATTTTGAAGGCGCTGCTCAGGCAAGGAAACAATGGACATCATGGATGAAGAGTACAATCGACATGGAACTTGCTACGTGCTACGTAGATCGCGGCTAGTGGAAAACTTTCTCCATCGACTCCGCGGCCCGTCGCGTACTTCGTACGCCACATAGTTTTAATTCCTAGAGCAATGTTTAGCCGATTCCTCCAGCGTCAGTAATACCCACATAGTAGCGCGAATACGACTTCTGAACTCACCACAAAAATGTACTTTACCTCGGCGTTGCCACCGGATTGCGCGCCTAAGGTCCTAATAAAGACGGGCTTGTTTAACGAGCACCAAAATCTACGGGGCACAGAGTCAAAAGTACCAATCATGACGAGGAATGAAAAGCACTAGAACGCAACAGCGTCATTCTTCGTGAACATGCCTGCGCTCAAAGGTATTGGTTGTTTTTAGGCCATCAGTGAAGGACGGGTCAGAAAATATTGACCTGTACAGCTGGCGGCCTGAGGCAGACCAGTGTTTGACACCTCCCATGGGTGGTAGAAGGAGAGCATACATAAGAGATTGGAAACGCACCCAGAATGATCATAAAATCACATCTTACTTAGCATTTGCAACACCCAAGTGCTACCAAGATGCGCTTCATTTCTACCATGTCCGTTGGCCTTTTGGCTAGCGTTGGATTGTGCAGAGTGGCGCCACGCAAATTTGTTGAAAGGCCCATGTGAGTATCTTCTGAGTCTTGTCAGTAGTGTTCAACTGATCTTATTTCGACAGTGTCGCACACTACATGGTCGGCGGTGTTCAAGAAAAAGATGTTATTCAGGACATCAAGGATGCGAAAAGCATTGGTCTTGACGGCTTCGCGCTGAATTATGGTACGGATTGTTGGCATTATTCTTCTCATTGGCATCTCTAACAGCATCAAGATCAATTTGAGTGGTGGTCCAATGACACTGTCAACTTCATGTTTAATCATGCAGACGAATTGGGCGACTTCAGTCTATTTTTTTCATTTGATCACGGCAAAGGAATTTTGAAAGACCCTCTTGATTACGCCACCTATTTCACTACATATAGCGGTCGTTCCTCGTACCTCAAGATGAAGGACCGAAACGGAAATGCTCGAAAGCCTGTTCTGTCCACTTTTGGGGGCGAAAAAATTGGCAACGATAGATGGAACGAGTTCAAGAAGACAGTAGGCGATGTGCTGATCATACCCGGTTTCTCTGAAGTCTACAACCCTACTACCAACTTCTTCCAGGGCCGCAGTGCTATTGACGGTGTGTTCAACTGGAACTCCTGGCCCACCGTTGAAGAAGGCAGAGTTACCGTGTCGGCAGCAGTAGACCGCACGTTCCAGACTGCCGCGAGGAACGCGAACAAATACTTCATGATGGGCATTTCTCCCCTCCAATTCAAGCACACCAGCTACGGTAACTGGTACCGCCGCGGCGAAGACAACCTCGAGAACCGCATCGGCCAGATTCTCAATGTCCAGCCCGACATGGTGCAGCTGCAGACTTGGAACGACGGCGGAGAGAGCCACTACATGGGCCGCCTCCACCCAGAACCGCTAGACGACCGAACAAAGGCTTTGACGGATGGCTACGACCATACTGGTTACTGGCAGATTCTTCCGTCCTTCATCAATGCGTGGAAGCGGGGCGACACTTCGACTGCCAACATGTACCCGACCAACGGTAAACCCGTCCAAGGCACCTTCTGGCACCACACTCTGACCATTGGCGGATCTTGCTACGCCGACGAAATCGCAAAGACAAACACCATCACGACTGGCGGTGAAGACGCGGTATCTGGTGTTCTCCTCGTCGCACAAAACAAGCAGGGTCTCAAAGCTGAGGTCAAGGTCGGCAATGCGCGACTGGGCAACGTCATCTCGCTCTCGCCGGGATTCAACAAGTTCAAGCTTACTGGACTGGAGAATCTGGTTCCTGGCAAGGTGCAGGTTGAAGTGTGGGATGGAAGCACTATGGTTGGGGGTGGTTATGGTAGCATCGAAGTCACGAGGCAGAAGGCGCTTTGTAACTACAATTTCCAGGTTGTTGGCCTGCCTTCTTAGGTTCTTACAAGATTCTGTACTGGGCATTAAATGCGGACACAACCTAGAACAACATAGTTGGGAACGAGTGTTGATAAACAACAGTTTGAATCCTCTATTGTGCTTTTTTGTTTGTTTGTTGGTGTCTATTGACTTGATCATTTTCTTTCCCCCCTTCCACATATACTTTTGCATCTCTTTCATTCTTCTTCTCCATCTCAATCAATCACACCCCTACGTCCTCTCACCCAACCCCTCCTTTCCCCCTTTTACCTGCTCCCCACCCCCAATCCCCGTCGTCCTCTTGGGCTGTTCCTGGAAGTCGGGCTGCTTCGCTGGGTGCTCATCTCCTTGCTTGGCCTCGTCGTGCGAAGCACTCGACTGCTGGTCTGTATGCTGGCTGTCAGACCGCACTTTGGCATTTGGTGCTGCGCTCGAGTTGGGATGCGGGTCCGGAATGTTGGAGGCGGGTTTAGAAGTGTCCATTATTTTTTTGTTGGGAGAAGACGTGGAGAAGGTTTTTGCACAAGGGAAGGTAGCAAGTGAGGTCTGCAGGAGCCCATATTGGATGCGTGTGGATTGGCGTAGTGTGCGGAGCGTGGCTGGCAGGGACATGGTTGGTAGTGATGCTGGTTCGCTTCCAAGGTCTAATGCGGTGTAGGTATTGGTTTAGATGCCTGTTGAGAGATGAGGATGTTCGCTGCTTTGTACCAAGGAAACCTTTTCTTGAAGCATTGATAGGCCATGGAATTGCATGAGCGAGTAGTTACGTTTGTGCAACTCTCCTCGACGATGTCTCTCTGACATCACTCTGACCGCGTCAATTCACTGCCAAGATATTTCTCTAGAGTCTCCCGACATGAGGCGTCGATCACCCTTCGCATCTGGTGTTCTAGATTCCCAGCCCTGCGAATCGCACACATAGATTCAAGACAGGCTGGTGTGATATGTATGCGAGCGAGTGTGACTGCTGTAAGCATAAGCTTTGGGCGGTCGTAGCCGCACCAAACAGCCACATGCATTAGCGGCCTGGCTTCCATACCGAGCCCATGCCCCATGCGGTTACCGTACGCCTATCCTGCCCGCATTCTCTGCTCTTGCGTCTTTTTGCGCAGGCCATGTCAGCCCAAGCCAGCACAAAGCCTGAAAGGGCATCTCGAGCAGTCACAGAATATGGTCCACTCACTCTCATTTGCACACACAACTTTGCTCCATTTTTTCTTTCTTCTTCTTCTTCTTCCTCTCCTTGATTTCCCCATTGCCTGATCCATTTTTCTGTTAGCGGGCCCTCCACCAAATCCATCATGCCCGAGTTTGTGCTCTTTGGTGATTCGCTCACTGAGTGGGGCTTTAGCGAGACTACTCAGGGCTTCGGCCGTTTTCTTCAGCAAAAGTACCAGTACAAGGTGGGGATCGTGAATGAAGGTAGGCTCAGGTGCGGATTCTAGCAACCATCGTCGATCAAGGAATTGCGCCATGGGCTTCGTTGGTGTATACTCGGCCTCCAGCCCGTATAAGGGGTCTTGTACCATCTCCTGATCATATGATATACTGACCAATATTGCAACAGGTAGAGCAGGGTATGCCCATCCACAACATGCCAGGAATCGCTTCACAGTGCCTCGAGCATTAATCCGTCACACAGCTACACAAGCTCCGACTTGCAAGATGACTTTGCCCGCATAATACGCAGCACCACAGCCCCAGGCGCAACACAAACTCTCCTCTTTACCATCTTTCTCGGCGCAAACGACGCCTGTGTCGGCTTGGGAGGCGCCGAGTATGTACCCTGGCCCGTCTTCTCTGAGAATATCCGTGGCTTCCTCGACACCATTCTCACCGAGCAGGCCATGGACAATACTAAAATTGTCCTCATCACGCCACCGCCAATTAACAGTCACGTTGAGGCTATCGCCAAAAACATGTCCAAAGCGGAGGTCGAGCAGGAAAATTGCAAGAGGAAGCAAATGCTCGGGTATAGGACGTACATGAATAAGAAGCGGTATGCAGAGGGAGTGATGAAGATTGCAAAAGAGTACGAGGAGACGGAGAGGGTGGTGGGGTTGAACTTCTGGCAGGATATGGTCGATGCGCTGGCAAAGGAGGAGGGATGGGAGTACGACGCCGAATTGCCGCCGGGCTGCGGCTTACTTGGCTCAAAGTCGTTTCCAAGGGGATGGTTTACCGATGGTTTGCATTTGGATGTCAAGGGCTATGCGGTACTGAACAAGGGGCTGTTCAACCTTGTGATTGAGAAATGGCCCGAATTAGCACCTGAGAAGCTATAGACTAGCACTGAAATCGTGTTGTTCTGTTCTGTTCTTCTTTTCATTCAGCTATCTGGTGGTGTTTCTATTTGTGCTTAACCTCTGTTCAATGTGTTTCCTGAGCCCTTGGGATTCGCTTCTACATATTCGTCCCACGCACGCTGCTTCATCGTCTCTGCATCCGCTGCATCAAGGTCATCCTCATTCGGCTCAGGTTGGATCCCAGACTGTGGACCTCCACCCTCGATTATGCCACCTCTCTTCCTCTCTTCCTCTAGATACTCGTCAATCGTCATGGTTGGTAGATTGTGGTCCGGACGGAAGACGCCCTTCTTCAGGCTTTGGCGGCTATCCAACAACGTAAACGGCCGCATGGGTTTACCATCGCTACTCAAGATGGGCCCAGAGTACCTCAACCCAGCATATTGACCGTCCAGGCGCTCGGAATACCCGTCTTTGCCTCTGCTATCTTGCCGGGCGTCGGACGCTTGCTGGTCCTGGCCTGGCGGTGGCGCAGGTGGCGCTAGCGAGATAATGTGAAGTTCCTGAGCCATCGACTCGAGTGAAGCAAATGTCTGGTGTATCATGAATGCCAGATCAGTCAGATGCAGATCTCTTACCACCTGCTCGTCTTGCTCTGCCAGCTTAGGATTTTGTCGTAGATACTATAGTCGCGCAGTCAGCCTCTTACACAGTTCCTATACAAGCAGCGGTTTAACATGAAGTGGATTTTACCTCAAGTTTCCTCTTCAGCTCCTTCTCCTCTTTAAACCGGGCAATCTTAGCATCTCGTCTCGCTGCTGCGTCTCGTGTGTTGGCAGTAGAGAAATTATTCTTGTCTTCGTTGTAGGCTTCGAGAAGTTTCGTATCCGCCTTGCCAAGCATATCGTAGGAATCAAGCAATTTCAGGAACCGCTCATAGTAACCCCGAGCACGTAGCAGATTTTGCTTTCTGAGTGAAACGTCTGTGTTTGAGATTTTCTGCACGAGTTCGGCCAGGTGGTAGTTTATCGCTAGGTATCTGGTGGATACGTAAGCAGGAGTCTACAAACAGAAACGAGTGGAAACTTGGTGATAAGTATTAAGTAGTTTTGAACATACTGCAAATCGGTCGACGATATATCTTCGAGAGATTCGTTCGGACTGAACAGCGACACCTGCTCGGCGATCTTGAGACATTCTTCATAAGTGGCAATGGTTGCGCTGAGCTTTTCCTGGAAGGTGGGACTGTTTGGCTCGTAAGAAGATGAAAGTTCTTCGCGCGCCCTCTCAGCTTTGGAGAAGAGCCCTCGCAGACTCAGTGGTTCTTCTGACATTTTGTGAAGATTGAGTGTTAGAGTCGTGCTGATGACGAGGAAGTTTCGATACGTAGCCACGTGAGAGCGTGAAATGGTGTTGAGTCAGCACGGTCCTCCAAGTTGAGCATCGCGTACCCCGCCATCCCCGTAAATCGACCGCCCGCTTCGAAATATTCACTCTTAGGTTGATGATACACCAATCTCAGGATGCGGGAATTAAATTCACCACCTGTTTCAATGCATAAGCCAAGATTGTGTAACATGCTAGGGTGTGGTCACGGGTGAGTGCGTTGTTTGCTGACTGGCAAGGCTTGCAGGCAGTCGCGCAAATAGCAGCGATCTTCTCTTGCTACTTTCACTCACCAGCCCACTTAAGCAAAACACTTGCACCATTTGTTTCTTTCAAGGTAATTGTGACACTTCAGATATCTAAAGTACATTCCAACTACTACAATGGTATGGATTGAAATCGAAGAGGAGCAGGAGGATTACTTCCCATCTGAGGAGAATCTCATCCGCACCCTATCTATCCAAGATGACGACAAGATTGAGCAGTCCGGGAAACATGATCATGAATTGGACGAAGATTCCGAAGCCGACGATACGCGTAGTCATCGTCCTACGACAAGCATGGAGAAACGCAGAGCGCAGAACAGTATCATGAAAGCCTTTGCTACTAATATCAGTGCAGTCTTGACGCAGCGAGAGGTTGAAGATGCAGCTACGAAAAGTGCCAAAGAAGAGCAGCTTTCGATTCGTGATATTCTTGCCAATCAAGAAACAGCAGTCCGTATCACAAACCCGCGCGATTACCAGACCGAGCTGTTCCAGAGAGCAAAGTCTGAGAACGTGATCGCAGTACTAGATACCGGTTCTGGGAAAACACATATCGCAACTCTTCTATTGCGACATGTCCTAGACATGGAGCTTGACCACCGGGCGAGAGGTGGCATTCCAAGGATGGCCTTCTTTCTTGTAGGTCTATCAACTCGGGTTATACAAACCCAGCTGACACTTCCAGGTCGACTCAGTCAACCTCGTTTTCCAACAAGCAAACGTCCTGCGCTGTGGTCTCGATCAAAATGTGGAAGGAATATGCGGTTCAATGGGCGCGTCACTATGGTCAAAGTCGACTTGGCAGAGCTACTTTGATAAGAACATGATCATAGTCTGTACGGCAGAAGTCCTTGTTCAGTGCATGATGCATTCTTTCATGACTATGTCCCAGATCAATCTTCTCATCTTCGACGAGGCTCACCACGCCAAAAGCAACCACCCTTATGCCCGTCTTATGAAGGACTATTACCTCCAAGAGATAGACGTCTCTCAACGACCCCGCATTTTCGGCATGACAGCCTCTCCCGTTGATACGAAGGGGCTTTCGGCAGATCATATCAAAGAGGCTGCCAGGAATCTAGAGAAGCTGCTTCATTCTAAGATTGCCACCACTGCTGAGAGCACACTCGCCTCAAACAGCATCAGTAGACCAGACGAAGAAGTCGCAATGTATCCCCGCTTGCAGGAAGAGTACGAAACGCCACTACATCAAAAGATCAGAGCCAGGTTTGGAGACATAAGGGCCTTTGATAAGTACTTTCTCGCATCAAAACGTCACGGTAGAGAACTTGGACGCTGGGCTTCTGATATGTACTGGTCTTTCGTCTTTACCGATGAGCAGAGTCGCAAATTGGAGCAGCGGGAACGTCTTAAACATTCCAAGAACCGGCCGGACGAAGTCAAGGAGTGGGACGCCAAAGTGAAGCGCTTGCAAGAGGCAGCTGAGTTTGTTCAACAATTCAATTTCGGCGCGTGCACTCTGAGTGACCAGGATTTGAGCTCCAAAGTCCAGAAACTTTATTACTGGCTCAACCTGTATTACGAACGCAGCGACGAGGCTCGATGCATCGTCTTTGTTGAACAGCGACAGACAGCGCGGTTACTACAGCTCATTTTCTCACAGATTGGCGGTCCGCACCTCCGGTGTAGTGTACTGGTTGGTATCAACACCAGTGAGCATGAGCAAAACATATCTCTTCGCAATCAAATTCTCACCGTGGCCAAGTTCCGACGCGGAGAGCTGAATTGTCTCTTTGCCACTTCTGTCGCTGAGGAAGGCCTTGACATCCCCCAATGCAACTTGGTCGTCAGATTCGATCTTTATCGTACTATGATAGCATATGTACAGTCTCGTGGCCGCGCAAGGCATCGAAATTCGAAGTATTTGCACATGATTGAAGAGGGCAATCATGATCACCGTGAGCGAGTTATGGATGTCAAACTTGACGAGCAAGTCATGAGGCGTTTCTGCAGAGAGCTTCCGCAAGATCGTCACATTGATGAATACGACAATGACAGCATGGATCTTTTGACATTTGAGGATCAGTTGTACCCGAGCTTCATCACCAAACTCGGTGCGAAGCTCTCATTTCGTTCGAGTTTGGCTATCCTCAATCATTTCGTCGCAACCCTGCCTGGACCCGACAGACAAACTATGCTACAACCCACATACGTGGTATGTCCTGACCTCAACTATGACGGTCTAGATGCTCAGCGAAGAGGCTTCGTGTCGGAAGTGATACTCCCAGAGCACTCACCGATCAACACAATCATTGGTGATGTGCAGAGTAAAAAGGCGATCGCCAAGTGTTCTGCAGCATACAAAGCATGTCTAGAACTCTACAAAAAGGGTTACCTGGATGACAACTTACTACCAACAACCATCAGGCGATTACCAGCTGGAAGGAATGCCTTGCTAGCACTCGGTGAGAAGAAGAAGGGTAGGTATTCCATGCTCATTAAACCAGAGTTTTGGCAAGCAGGAAGAGGCTTGGTCCCTGCCAGTCTCTTTCTCACGGTTGTTGATCTTGATGCTGGTCTCGACCGACCTCATCAACCTCTGGGCTTCCTTACCCGGAACCAACTCCCGAGATTGCCAGAATTTCCAATTTACCTTACGGATGGTAGACCTTCCAACATTGTTTCTCGGTCTTCTATGGTATCGCTTCCTGTTTCGGCAGAGGTACTGGAAATAATTACAGTGTTTACCTTGCGCATATACAAGGACATATACAACAAAGAGTTCGAAAAGAATGCCCAGAACATGTCTTACTGGGTCGTTCCAGTACATTCGGATCGAGTATCTTCCCTATCTTCCGTGACTACCTTCGACCAGATCTTGGACATGGATCAATTGCGCAGAGTTTTCCATGAACCAACATGGAGATGGACGCCAGATACTACACCCGATGATCTTATGAACCGCTACTTTGTAGATCCAGGAAATGGAGGACGACGCTACTACTCCGAACGCTTTGCGCCTCACCTCAAGCCGCAAGATCCTGTTCCCAAAGGCCTTTCTCGTCAAGGCCACAAATTCATGAGCAGTATTCTAGACTATAGCGATAGCACATGGACAAGGAACAGGAACATCTTGAAATGGAACCAGTCACAACCAGTTCTTCAAGCCGAAAGGATCCCTTTACGTCGAAATCAGCTTGCGCACATCGAGGATAAGGAAAAGGGAGATTTCAGTAACCTCAAGATATACATTTGTCCAGAGCCTTTCCATATATCCAATGTAAGTTTAGAGCTACTCTGATTTCTAAGCTTTCAAACTATGAGTACTAACAACCCAGCTTGCGACACCATTCGTAGTCATGTGCTATGTGTTACCGGCTATTATTCACCGCTTCGAAAGCTACCTTATTGCATTGGAAGCTTGTAGTGTCCTGGAGCTCAAAGTCAACCCAGCGCTTGCCTTGGAGGCTTTGACAAAGGATTCTGAAAATTCGGAAGAGCATGATGAAGAGAAGATCAACTTCAAAAGTGGCATGGGCCCGAATTACGAACGGTATGGATATGAGCTTCGCATGAATGGGTTCAAGCTAACACTGGGGCTTAGTTTGGAGTTCCTGGGCGATTGCTTCTTGAAGATGGCGACATCTCTTTCCGTCTTTGTTCAACAACCAGACGAAAATGAATTTGAATTTCATGTTCGTCGCATGGAGATGCTGTGTAACAAAAACCTTATGGAGACGGCGGTAGGAAACAAGAAAGTCGTTTCTCCAGAAGGCACGGAGAAAGACCTGCAACTGTACAAATACATTCGTACAGAATCTTTCTCTCGGTATGTGTGTTTAAAAAAAATCTGTAATCTAGACTGACGTTAGTAGTCGTACATGGTATCCTGAAGGCCTAAGACTACTCAAGGGCAAGGGTGCGAACAAATCCCAAGACGACTGGCTTAAGCTTACACACAATCTGGGAGACAAGAGCATTGCCGACGTATGTGAAGCTTTTATCGGCGCAACCTTACAAGAGCATTACACAGGTGATCGATGGAGACCCAATGATTGGGATGAAGCAGTAAAGGCAGTAAAGCTCTTTGCCAACAGCCCAGACCACACTATGTCAAAGTGGTCAGACTACTATGAAGCCTACCAGAAGCCGAAGTATCAGACTGCAGAGGCAAGTGCAGCGATGCTGGACATGGCTCGAAAGATTGAGATGAAGCATCCTTATCACTTCAAGTACCCTCGCCTCCTTCGATCAGCATTCGCACATCCTTCATATCCATACATGTACGAGAATATACCCAACTACCAACGTCTTGAATTTGCCGGGGACGCGCTCCTCGACATGGCGTTCATTACACACCTCTACTTCAAGTATCCAGACAAGGACCCTCACTGGCTTACCGAACACAAGACACCAATGGTATCCAACAAGTTCCTCGGCGCCGTATGCGTCAAGCTAGGCTGGCACGTCTACATCAAGCAAAACACAGCCACGTTAACCAACCAGATCCGCGACTACGTCCTGGAAGCCGAAGAAGCTGAGCGCGAAGCCGGCGGCGCAGTCGACTACTGGGTCACTATCAGCGAGCCGCCCAAGTGCCTCGCCGACGTCATCGAAGCCTACGTCGCCAGCATCTTCGTCGACGCCGAATTCGACTTTGGCGTCGTCCAGACCTTTTTCGAAATGCACCTCAAACCCTTCTTCCTCGACATGACGCTCGACTCTTACGAAAAATTTGCATCGAACCATCCTACTACGCGTCTTAGTCGCCTGCTCACTATCAATTTCGGATGTATTGACTGGCGTATGGGCGCTCTGGAAACGGAAACTGTTATTCCTGGCAAGGGCAAGGCGATTGCGGCCATGGTCTTGATTCACGGTAAAGTTCATTTTTACTCGTTGGGTCAGAGTGGGAGGTATGCGCGGGTTAGGGCTAGTCAGGCTGCGCTGGAGAAGTTGGAGGGTTTGCCACCGTTTCAGTTTCGTAACGCGTATGGGTGCGATTGTGTGGACGAAGAAGCGGAGGGAGAGGGTTCTCAAGCAAAGCAGGAACAGATGAGGGAAGCGATGGGGTTGAGCATTTAGGGGACAGGTTGAATCAGCTGTCATGAGGTTCGTTGTGTAGTGTTTATGCGGCTTGGAGTCGAAATATGATCTGTGTTTGCAGTTTTCGAACGGGAAGAATCGGGTCATTTGGATAAGTTCATAACTAGAATTAGTTTTTTTAAAGACTGCCAAAATAGTTTCTCTACTGTCTACGCTGTGTTTTTGTTTTCCAACAGTCTGCCGACTAGCTCATGTCAGGTAAAGAAGTACAGGATATATACATGCTCGCTTATAAGGAAATAGAAACAAAGAAGAGGAAAAAGGTTAGATCATTCCTCATTTCAGAGCCATCACCTCGTCCTCGTGTCATCAAAATTTGTGTCCCCCTCCATTATGCAAACCATTGACTGAATAAAGAAAAGCCTTTTACTTCGTAGAAACCATAAAAGTCTGGAAATTTACAAGCATAGAGCGCAAATAACGAAAGAGACAAGCGCCAGCATACTGCTGCCTCTGGGGCGCACAAATACCCCTGTTCCTGTCTCAGTAGGTCGCGCTCCGTTACCAGTTTGACTGGGCTGGTTGCTGTTGTCCCCACCGGTAGAGCTTGGGCTGGTGTTCTCGCCGTTTGGTTCGTTGGCTCCACCCGAGACAATGTTGAGCTTAAGGTTCTGAACCTGCTGGCCACCGCTACCATAGACCTTCTGCTGGACGTTTGTCTCATCAACATTGACCAATCTTCCGTTCTGAGGGTTCTCAATGCCATTGTTGATGAGATCCTGGCACCCTGGGCAGACGGCTGGGATTGTAAAGTTCTTGCTAAATTCGTTTGCAGTTATGAGGCTGTCGCTACACTCTGGAGCTTGGACGTCGGTAGACTGAGGACTTGCTGATTCTAGCGCTTGGATGTCGAGCTTGTTGAATTGTCTTTGGAGATTATCGAAATCCTTCATCAGTCTGACTGAACCATCTTGTTCGATCTCGACTAGGCCATAGCCTGCCTCTTCGGCAGAGTACTCGTATACAAGGCCACCAGAAAGAGCCCTCATCTGGTCGCCGTAGAGAGCCTGTACTTCATCAAATTCACGAGGGGTTACGCGATTGCAACCGTATTCGCTGAACTGTATGATAGTTAGACTTTTCTCCTAGTTACAGACATTGTACCAAGAATGAGACCTACGAAAACAGGAATGGCAGAGTTAGCGAACATGTTGGCCAAAGTATCATAGCCGGAAGTTTGTATGTTGTCGCCATTGCACCAGCTGTAAGAGTTGAGACCAAAAAAGTCAGACGACGACTGGTCCTCATCGTGAACACACTGCATGTAAGCCCAGGTATCTTGCAGAATCTCGCGGACATCGGCAGCGGAATAGCCGACAGGTATGGTACGGTTGACGTGGGTTTTGATATAGTTTTTCATGTCACGTTGAACTGCCTGGTTTGTGTCAGTCAATCGAAGTTGAGGAATATAGAAAATACCAAAACTTACACGAATGTACTGAGGATTGAACTCGGCAGTAGACAGATCGTTCATAACCTCGTTAGCGGAGAAGAAGCCAAGCGTGTTTGGAAAGTTCTTGAAGTTCTCAATAATTCCAAAGGCGCGATTAAGATAGTCGCTGTTGTAGCTTGTCCATGGCTCAGCGCGGTTGATGCTCTCGCCTGGCAGGGGAGAGTTGACGTCGAGCATCATGTAAATGCCAGCGGCATTGAAGATGGAGGCACATTCGGAGTGGTCGAGGGTAGGATCAAGATTGTAGACGCGAAGCGTGTTCACACCAAGCCTCTGCATGAGGACAGCATCTCGCAAGCAGACCCCGGAATTGGTTAGGGCATCCTCTTTGTTGGAAGGTTGATATGCGCCCTGTCCACCGGGCTGGTAGTCGACACCAATTATCATGAGGCGCTCGCCAGTAACGGTGTCGACGAAGTCGCGGCCGCGAACTTCAACAGGATTGACCGCATGGCCAAGATATGAGAAAAGGGCTGGGAGAATTACAGCCGCACGAGTAAGCTAAGCAAGTAAATGATAAGCGATGCAGGTACTAGCGGAAACATGAATGGAGCGCTCTTGATGCCGGGTACTTACAAAAGACATATCAGCGAACGACTGTCGAATATCAACAATGGTGGAATGAAAGATGTAAGGGCCTGTAGGACAGGTACTCGACAGCGACTCAGCCCAGTCTTATAATGCTATGATAGCCGGTTTGCGGCAGTATCGCAATCGATATTGCACCAACGCTAGTTGCAGGTATTCTTGGCGGGAGAGGATCAGCTAAGACGGATTGCCTGCCGGATAGCGTGCTGCGATTCGAGGGAGCGAGAAAAAGAGGGCGTGGGGAAGCGATTAGTTTGGGTGAAATGACGAATAGCCAAGCAAGTGAGTGGAGAGAAGAGAGGGTTGCGCTGGACTGAATGCAACTCGAAGCAATTCACTGTCACTATCGCCATGACGGCCGCGGCGACAGCAAACAAAACCAACAGCAACAACAAGCGAGGCGGGCAGGAGCAATCCATCACGCCGCATATCCGGAAGGCGCGATTGGGGTCTCATCTTGGCAATCAAGTCAACCAGACGAGGCAGGAGCGGGATGACCTCAGGACCCACGGGCGTTGGCATTATCAGCAGTGGTAGTGTCCATGTCAGTGTCAGTGCAAAGTCCAAGTGCCATACTAAGTAGTGCTAGTGTCCATGTGCATGGAGGAATGGGAATGGGTGGGTCGCGAAGAAGCTTTGCTATCCCGGCTCAAGTCCCCCACCATATCTTGCTTTTCCATTCCGTCGGCAGCATCTTGCATCCTGCCAGCCGTGCGCCCCCAGTATGTAACAAGTCCGAGTCACTGTGACGCCACTCTCCATGCATCCCCAGCCACTCGTTCTCCTGTCCATCGGCTTACCAATGGCTACGAGCTGCAATCTACAGCACTGTCTGCACAACAGCGCGCTGCCATCAACATTTCACATTCCCGCGCAATTCTATTCATGACCCCCGCCATCGGAACCTTGCTGTTGGTCGAGCTAGCCATGGCACTCAAACGGTCCATTGCTCCATGTGGGACGCTTGTGCAGCTTCTTAGTTCGCACCATGCGCTTGACCTTTGAGAAACCTGTCCACCGGCTGTTGGGGCCGTTGGAATCCAGTTTCATGCAAAAAGGGCTTCCGCTAGCTGCTCGACGGGTCTATTGGCGCGCGCTCACACACCTGGCAACACAGCACGCCCAGGCGCTCGTCATCCACTCATGTCCACGTCCTGCGCCTTTCTCTTCACGCCGCTCTCGCCGCCCTCGACTTGCTTTTGAAACTTGGCCTGAACTGCCTCGAGCAATACCTCCTTGACTACCGCGAGGCTGCCCACAGCCGCGTGTGTAGCTCCCTCAATGAGCGCATCTGGTTCTGCACCAACGTCTCCCTTCATCCACATCTCCGTGATCTCGTCTCTTGAAGCCAAGTAGCCCACTACGCACGCTGCAACCACTTCCTTGTGTTCCGCAGGACATGGGTCCAGAATCCTAAGCAGCTCTTGCTCGTTTTTCGACGACGGATTTCGTACAATGGCAGCCACTCCTCCACATACTACATCCACGCAATCAATTCCTGCGTCTGTTATCGCAGCACTGGCAACCGTGATGCAGCCTGCCAAAACGTTCAAGAGCCCCCATCCACTTCCTGCCGCACTTCCCCCGCTTGCCAAATCACCCCACCAGCCATCTTCATCACCCTCAAGAATTGTGACCACAACTTCCACGCCACTCTTGGGCCATCTCTCACCAATGATGACGCCTCGTAGTGCTGTCTCCAGATGCACGCCCAAGTCGCGTTCTGTTGCGTCGCGTAGATAGCCCCGCCTATGCCGTGTTGCAAACGGTGCAAATTTCACAGTAGTCGTAAGGAGAAGCGAAGGGCTAAAGGGCGCGCTGCGGGGGAGGGGCTTTGGACCTTGTATTGAGGCCGTTATCTTAAGTGATGAGGTTGGTGCGATGAGGCTAGAATGGTTCGCAGCCGAAGACGACGGTATCTCAAGGTAAGCGGAGCCGGACGCAGAGGGTATGATGGACGTTTGGAGGACTATACTTGAGTATTAGCAGATAGAATGCGGATACCAGCGCATCCTGGAGCCGTGCAAAGCTTGTCGACAGTTCATTGTAAGCAATGACATCCAGATCGAGCGAACAAGCTGCTCGTAGAAGCGCCGATAGGTAAACTAGCAACTCACAGATCCTGCGAAGCTCATTTAGGCCTCTTGATCTTGTCGGTCTCAACTTTTCGACATATTGCGGCTCTCTGATGGTGCGCGCAAATACAGGAGCACTTGTTCCACCACTGGGCGCATTATTTCTCCGTCTGTCAATATTCATAGCCATTGTGTGGGAGAGGATGTTTGTGCTGCTAGAAATGTGGATGATCTCATGGCGGTAGACGCGCAAATTATGCATGACTAAGCTGCAGATCCGCCAAGAGTTCGTTCCTCAAGCTCAATTTTCCTTCGCGTCCAGGCCAACTTTCTTTCCTTACCACACTTCGGCATTCAAGGTACGTTACCACCACACTTTCTTTCTATCCGATCTTCCATGATTGATACCCTTGAAATACGTTCTTGTGATCTCAAATGAGCTTTGAACACATGCACCACCCTCTGATCTCGTCCTTATCAGCTTCTGGTTTCACGGCAAGCTTTGCGACTTTGGCTGACTCAATTCAGATGCGATAGCAACCACATCTCGCAATGGTGCCCAGTCACCAAGATAGATGTATTAGCAACATGCTGGTAATGCACCTGAGCTGCCGCTGTCGTATTCCCCTAGGAAGGTCTGCGCATACGGATATAAGCATGGGGCCAGTGGGATGTCGAGGCCTTCGCTGAGCACAAGCTGCTATTTCGGCATGCGTCACCGGAGGTCTTCGCCGTCTAACGCAAGAGGTGGCTCGTCTGGACACACTGTGGCACTGCCTATGAGCGCATTCTCACTGCCTTGACCTGGTGTAGCCAGCAAGGCCAGGCACTAACATTTGGTAAGTCGAGCTCTGCATCCCTCTAATTTTTTTTGTGATGAACGTATTATTTCAGTTCTGCTTCCGAACTACAATGTGGAAATTATATACCGCTTACCTTTGTCTGATATGACTTGATTTCTATCTTGTTCAACCAATGCTTCCAATGGACGTTGCTGACGTTTCAAATAGACTACAGCATATCTTTTATCTTGCACCCCCTCAGTGGTAAGTACTTCACCTTTCTCTTCTTTCGCCAGGAAGAAAACTAGTCTATCCATTCAATGACATCTGTTGCCGGGTCACCCTCCCGCACTCTACCAGCTTCGGCTGGAATGACGGGTTGTGGAGTTGCAATGTTGGCTCGTCCAGCGCCGCGTAATTGTGGTCTTTGTGCTGAAAGTCGTGGCAATCCGTCTTGGGCTGCCGCAACCAGAGGCCAGGTGACAGGGGATGATTAAACACGGCTGTCTGAGCATATTGCATACTCTGAAAGTTTTGCGAAATTACAGCTTGAGCACTGCTAACAGCGCTCAGATCACTTTTTGTAATAACACCCACAGCTTCGCATGTCCGGTCCGCGAGTAGCACCGAGGGTGGAATGGCGGCATGCTGGGGGGGTGGCGGCGTCGGTAGCTTGAGTAGATGCAGTTAGATAGTTGCAAATCCTATGATTTACACTTGCCCAAATCAGACACTCCTCTCTGTGTCCGTGTTTTATTCATTAAGGACACGCCCGTGGTTGGCCTTCACAATGGCTTTCGAGGGCATACCGTCAGCGCGCTGGTGGTGACAATAAAGCTTCCATTGGCTACGACAATTAAGCACATGGTACAGGCGTAACCGACAGCCTGGCAATCAGGGCTGCATGGATGGTGAGGCAGGGTGCTGTGCAGAATGGCATGCCGTGTCTTCTCCGCTGAATTTCCGGCGAATACGTACGCCTGCGTATCATTGCTCTGAAACGGCCATACGTACTACTACTAGTCAGCTTGGCTTAGCTTCACGCCCCCGAACAGTTGCAAAGTGTCCGAAACGCAGCGAACAAAACGTCTTGCATCTCGCCGGGCACGCGCATCGCATCGATAGTCTGGTGCGATCACTGTCAGCAGCTGCGGACTATCGACATTAGTACGACTAAACTTTAACGTGGCCTTGGCGAGTTGATCCTAGGCCAAGACCTACCACAAGATACCAAAGACGCGCGAGCCCTCGATTGATCCAACAACCCACTCTCCTCTCGTCGCAATCACCACGGCCGACTACACCTCTCCCCTGACAGGATAGGGGAGAACAGAGCATCATTGTTCCGTGGCGCAGCCGTGTAGTCTGGGAGGTCTTAGCTGACCAGGGTTTCAAAGGGACCCATCCGTACTATCTGGTGCCCGTCTTCCACGAATGCTTCCTTCATACTCAACGTCAAAAGGGAAAATGCATCGCCATGCGTTTTCCAACGGGGCATATCCCTCCCAAGGGGGAGGTACTTTTTCCATACAGCCTCATAAGTACGTCTATACACCGCAATGCGCAGCGCAGCCCCAGCGCACTACCGCTGCATCATACCTCCTTTACCCCCACGACTCTGGCCACACAACGTCCTGACTTTGATTACGTTTCTAGATTTCAGCCGCGGTCACAGCCTGCTCTAAGACGGCGAAGGACGTTGATACAGCGCCTGCTGCTTGTGGGCTCGCTTTTCTTTACAGCCCTCTTCTTCTTTTTTCCCAACCTGCGACCAAATTTGGGCTCCGGACCCCTGAGCCTCATCACTTCGAGCGACGATTCGCAACTCGAGACGGTACGATACTACGACCTGAACAATGTCCAGGGTACCGCAAGAGGATGGGAGAGGGAGGAGCGGATACTTCTCTGCGCCCCATTGCGAGATGCATCCCCACATCTGCCCATGTTCTTCAGCCACCTCAAGAACCTCACATACCCACACAATCTCATTGACTTGGCGTTTCTCGTTGGAGATTCCAAGGACAACACAATTTCGCTCCTAACGGAAAAGTTGAAGGAACTGCAGGCCGACCCGGACCCAAAGCAACAATTCGGAGAGATTTCAATCATGGAAAAGGACTTTGGACAAAAGGTCAACCAAGATGTTGAGAGCCGCCACGGTTTCGCTGCACAGGCTAGCCGTCGAAAGTCAATGGCGCAAGCCCGCAACTGGCTCCTGAGTGCTGCTTTACGGCCGACACACAGCTGGGTATACTGGAGAGACGTGGACGTAGAGACTGCTCCGTTCACCATCTTGGAGGATCTCATGCGCCACAACAAAGATGTTATTGTACCTAGTATGTTTCAGTTCATCTGGCAGAGGTGTTCATTGCTAACATACCGTTTAGATGTCTGGCGACCGCTCCCAGACTGGCTTGGCGGAGAACAACCATACGATCTGAACTCGTGGCAAGAGTCTGAGACTGCGCTTGCTCTTGCAGATACGCTCGACGAGGACGCCGTCATTGTAGAAGGTTACGCAGAGTACGCGACCTGGCGCCCACATTTGGCATACCTTCGCGACCCCTATGGTGACCCAGACATGGAAATGGAAATTGACGGTGTTGGTGGTGTCAGTATTCTTGCAAAAGCAAAGGTATTCCGCGCTGGTTGCCACTTCCCCGCATTCAGTTTCGAGAAGCACGCCGAGACTGAAGGATTCGGCAAGGTAAAACATTCAGCCTCTTCTTGTGCGACGAAGCTAATATATTGCAGATGGCCAAACGCATGAAGTTCTCAGTCGTCGGTCTTCCCCACTATACCATCTGGCATCTTTACGAGCCTAGCGTCGACGACATTCGTCACATGGAAGAAATGGAAAAGGAACGCAAGGCGAAAGAGGCCGAAGAAGAAGCTAAGAAGGCTAAGGAAGCTAAGATCAAAGAGTCTTTCGACGAAAAGAAGGGCGACTGGGCGAAAGAGAAGGCCGCAGTTCAGGAGCTGATTCAAAAAGCAAAGAGCGAGGCCAAGGAAGGGGAGCAGAAGGACAAGCAGCCAGAGGAGAAGAAGAAGGAAGAAGCCAAAGAAGAGAAGCCAGCCGAGAAGAAGGAGGGCAAGTCGTAGTATCTACAGTACATGCATAATGTGAGGGGCTACAAGACTTGGACTTCTTTTTATTGATGCAGCTTCGTGCGTGCAGTGGGGATGCGCGAGTACGGCAACGACAGTAACGACTTGGGTAGACTGAGAGCGCGCATCTGGAGCGTTGGTTTCTCTCGACTCACTGCGTGCTTTGGCTGGGACCCAATAACACCAGCATGTAGTGTGTCAATGTTGAGCTGGATTTGCTTATAGGAATCAGAGCCTGTCGCTCTCTCTTGTGGCGGGCGTTGGACAACCAGTTTGAAGGGTTGCATACATTAGACAGCAATTATTGCATCACAAGGCGCTAGGGGGGTTTCAGTAGTAGAATTAGCAGCTTATTCATCTGTAATAATATTTGACACCATCTCGAGTCGGTCATGTGTCGTTTCCAACTGGTGTTTGTTCGGGTGGTACTTCGCCCTACGTATGATGGGTGTTTGCTTTGGACCCTGGCACGATCAGCGTTGCGTCTCAGCACCTCCGAAACTCCGCTGCGTACTAGAGCTAATCCGCCAGATCACCAAAGAGACCATTTGCCAGTTGCCTAGTACTTACGGACACATTGTCAGTAGACGACTCCTAATTGCACTCGACAGGTTTGGAGTACGTCTACCTTTTTTTTCAGGCAACAGCAAAGAGTTGGAAGAATGCGTGTCATCTTTCCAATCAACTGAACGTAGCATAAAGCTGTCCATGTGCCCGCCAGTATAACGACACGGTGTCGCGCGCAATACTTTCCCCACCACTTACGCAACTACACACCAGCTTTCCAGCACCATGTCGAGCATCGACGGCGACGACAATTGCGCGTCAACCCTCCAAGAGACGATCGCAAGCCTGGACCCCCGCCCCATTACCGTCGCAGTCAACCCAGTAGCTCTCGTTGTGACAGAATGTATCACCGTCACGTCGGCTATGCGAAAGCATGCCCGCTGGGCGCATTCCTCAGTCGCGGCGATATTGGGGAGCTCCTCTAACAAGGCTCCAACTGTACAGCGGCGCGATCGAACAGGACAGGGCATTGTGAGTGCAGGAGAGCAAGAGGAGGCTGTTCCGAGCAGATGGGGATTGCGGGGGAAGAAGGGCAAGAGCATGCAAGACAACCCCCTCATGTCTGCATTTGCGCGCCTAAGGAATGATCTCAAGGGCTGTAAAAGTAGGGAACATTGTTCACAATGCGTTCCATACCAGAGCTATACTAATGCTACCACGCCAGATATCCGGACATTCGATACGCCCTCTATGCTTCACCCCTTCCTACAAGTTATCCGTTCGTCTTCCACAT